CCCGTTGGCGCAGGCGGGGTTACCATACCATTTTCACACATCAAAAAAAAAGTATATATGAATAGGTATGTATAAAATAAAATATAGTGTAATCAAATTTGTAAAAACTTAAGTTTTAGTTTTTGTTTGTAAATAGTCACAGTATTGTATACCGCTCTATCCGCTGATATTTTTCCACTTTGGATTTTTTAAAAGAGAACTCCTGTAGAATTAAGCTCGCCTTTGTATATTTGCTTTCTACTGCCGTTCTTCTGTTTATTTTATCAGTGTGTACAATAAAATATAAATAAATAATAATAAAATAATCTATCCTGTCTAGCTTCACATAGTTTTCATAGGAAACTATTGTATTAAATTCCTAACGAATTCATCACAATGGGCAAACTGACCTGACCATTGCTAATATCCAGAAAGAGGGGGAAATATCCATTAACTAGCAATGTACCCTCTCAACCTCCACGTGGTTCCCCCTTGAAACCATCATGTTTAATTCTTGTCGAATTCATTTTTATTCATTTTTAAAAATCATCTTCCACTGGTGCCTCGTCGGTGTATACCGATAGTGCGGGCGGGGTTACCAATCCATTTTCACCCATTAAACAAAAAATATCCAGAAAGCGAATATCAAAAGCTCAAACGGAATTACTATTAAATTTTTATCTATTTAATAAATATACTAGATTTGGCGTTAGTGGCATATGGTAGGTTGAGTCATGATGAATTATGTAAAGTGCTACATAATCAACTATTTAAATATTGCGACGTATTCTAATCACAACTTAATTGTCAAGAATGATTAAGCATTTCATGTTTTAATTGATAATTATATATATAAAACGCAAGGGTGTAATAAATAAAATATAGGTCTCTAACTGTAGTATAGTTTTGGGACTTTATTTATAACATCTAAGGATTTACATCATATTCATTCATACTAGACACTAAATAAAAGTAAAGAAATTTTATTTGAAAAATTTGCAAAATACAGTGATAAGAAAAAATTGACTTGGAAGGCGGAGATACAGGTCACTGTTTTGACCTCTATCTCCGCCAGGTCAGGTTAGTACCTAGTAGTTAATTTTTTAAACTTAATAATGAAAAAATATCTGTACGTGATTTAAAAATACCAACAGTTGGTACCTAATAATAGTTTATTGCATAAATAAAACTTAAATATAATTTAAGATTGGGTTTTACAAAAAAATTTACTTCTTTTCTGACAAAACCAGTTATTTCTATTTAAAAACTAAACTACTCAAGTGATTTTGATAAAATTTCTATGAACGTGTAAGTTTTTTTTATACAATCTAGAATAGCAAACAAGCTCTCAAAATGGCCCACCCGATGGAAAGTGGTAACCGTCGCTTATAGACATAAACAGTCCATGCGTTGCCATTCCTGAGGACTCAAGTGTTATTCCTCTGTAGCCTGTAAATTCACGCCATATCCCACTCTGCAAATCGAAACACAGCCATGAAAACACAACTGCTTTACGGTTGAAATACGAATGGGGTAGAGGTATCCAAGCAAACGACTTTTGTACAAAGTCTCTCTCTGGTATTGAAAACATTTTTTTTTTCAGATAAAAAAAAGAATTTCCCAAATCGGTTTGTAACAGACGGAGTTATGAGGTAATAGACATAAAAAAAAATACAATCGAATTAAGGGCCTTCTTTATTTTGAAATCGGTTGTAAAGGTAAATAAGCCGGTCGTTGCCAATTCATCACTGTGTTTACTTTATCAGTGTGTTACCGAGCTTATCGTCATTCAATTAATTTTTAATGAGCGCTCTTCTGCTATCTAATTACGCAGTTTCTGTCAATATAAATCACCTACATTGTGTTGCACGACTGCGGTAGCGGATTTAGGATGCTCCATCAACAATGTGGACACTATGAAACCATTCTTTCGACTATTAAAATAAAAAAAAAAATTACTGTTTATTAAAACTTTTGTGAAATTCTGAACACAGAATTCAAAATATTTACACATGTTTTTACTAATATATCTAATAAGACTATAAATAGACGATCTCTGTACATGGGAGATGTTTAAGAAAAAATAATAGTATCTTAATAAATTTACAGTGAATTTACAGGCGTGAATTTACAGGGTACAGAGGAATAACACCTGAGTCCTCAGGAATGTCAACGCATGGGGGTATCATGGGCGAAACAGTATACTCTGTTATGTCCATGGTACTGCTCATGTCTATAGGCGACGGTTACCACTTTCCATCAGGTGGGCTGTCAGCTTGTTTGCCATTCTAAGTTGTATAAAAAAAAAAGAATAATGTTTGGGGAACGTGCTCTTGTTTCGGCACGTCTCCTTCAAAGATGGATTGAGAGTTAGGCTCCTAGAGGCGGGCCTCCCCCTCCCTTGAAATTAGATTGCGCAACGGCGTTGGCGTTGTTATTATATTTATATATTTATTATTTTTATTATATTTATAAAAACAATGTTTTAAGAACCATGTCGTCAAACACGATTTAAAAGAGTTCCCATTTTATAGATACTTTTATCTTCGAGCAAGCCATTATAAAGTAAGATGCATGTATTAAATATTTATTTATTCTTTATTGTACACAAAATTTACAATGTTATAATTTATATAAAGCAAAAATGTACATCAGGAGAGCTTAATACTGTAAGGGAACTTTTATTCCGGCAAATCTTGAGTGGAAAGCAGCATTAATTACTAAATATATTTTTTCTTATTTATTACATATCTAACCTATAGCTTTTTATATTATAATGATTATCATATGCTTGATAAATCTCTTTCGTAATTCTTCTTTCATCCATCCTCTTCAAATGACCAAACCAACGCAACATCAAGCAAGAATGAATGGAGATGTCGGTAGGGGCCGCCATAGACGGACGTATGTCGACCAAACAGGCGACGTGCTGAAGAAGGGCCAAATTAAAAGTACCCGTAACCGGCGAGCGTGTATGAAAAGATTTTGAATGTGGAAGAAGCGAAACAGGTTTGTTTGAATCGAAGCATTTGGCGTTCCATTGTTTCTGCCTACTCTAATGGAAGACAGGCGTGACAGATATGTATGTATGTATGTATTATCATATATATATATAAGTATAGGTATTATAATAACGTGTTCTATATAAATATATATATATATATATATATATATATATATATATATATATATATATATATATATATATATATATATATATATATATATATATATATATATATATATATATATATATATATATATATATATATGTAAAACAATATTTTGTAAGTTTTATCAATAGGCACCTACTTATAAACAAAAAACATTTTGAATAGATAAATTAACAAGATTTAGTCAGTTACTGTTATTCTGTTGTTATTATATACGGTATGAAGTTATTTGCCGGTTTCCACATAATTTTAAACAATTCCTATTCAGATAAATTTGTTTACTGTAAATTTATTACCACAGTAAGATATGCTTACTTATATATAGCACAGAGGCTATTTCTATGCTATTTTACGTATGTATAGGTACTTTAAAACATATTCATTCACTCCGAATGGATAATATTGTCTAAAGAGATCACCAGAGGGAGACTTTGTACAAAAGTCGTTTGCTTAAGCACCTCTGTCCCGTTTGTGTTTCTACCGTGAAGCAGTTGTTTGCATGGCTGTGTTTCGGTTTGAAGGGTGGGATATGGCGTGAATTTACAGGGTACAGAGAAATAACACCTGAGTCCTCAGGAATGGTAACGCATGGGAGGTATCATGGGCGAAACAGTATACTCTGTTATGTCCATGGTACTGCTCATGTCTATAGGCGACGGTTGCCACTTTCCATCAGGTGGGCCGTTAGCTTGTTTGCTATTCTAAGTTGTATATAAAAGGCCAATACATGCCCGGATGGCAGAGTACGTATGTAACGGTTATGAACCGACTTCAAAAAGCAGAAGGTTGTCAAATCGGTCGTATTTTTTTTTTGTAATTGTACCGTCAGTTTTAAACCGACTTGGAAAATTCTTTTTTTTTCTAAATGGATATACTTAGGAGTTTTATTAAAATCGGTTTAATAATTTAAACTGGTTTTGAAAATCGGTTTTTTTTTATGGAAAATAATCTTAAGTTATTTATAGTCATTGGCTTAAGTTTTACATATGAGTAATTATAACTTTATTGCATGTTACCTCGTCGTTTTGCGCCTCACATGTCGATATCTACACGTAAGCTTATCTTCGGCCTCTGAGGTCATTCCTTGGTCTAATTAACTTGTGAATAGCGTCCATATAATGAGATATTTAACTCTTGTATGCTCAAACATAATGCTCGTTTTCTTTAATGTGAAATTTTCCTTTTTTTCTGGTTTAAAATGTTTGATTTGCGTTTCAGTGGGATTTTTTATGTGTGAAAACCTCGCCTGCACTATCCGAATATGCTTGCGAATTACCAGTAAGGAATAATAGGTGCAGATGAAAGCAGGTCAGTTACTCCATCCTGACGGATTCAGAAAGAATTAACCGAAGTGATTTTTGGTGGGAACCACTTAGAGGTCGACCTGATACCAATAGGGCTGTTAGACTCCATTATTAGCACTTTCTCTCCGCAGGCGGAATTATTATTCCATTAACATCTATAAAATAAACCTTAGGCAGAGGGACATTGCAGAATAGAGGGGGGGAGTTATTGTTGGTAATGCGGGCTACCAGTCCCATTTGCTAGCAATATACCTTATCAGGTCGACCTCCACGTGGTCCTCTCTGGAAACCATCGTGTTGAATTCCAGGTGTATTCATCACGATGGCCTAACTGACCTGCCTTTTCATTCTCACCTATCATCCTTCACTGGTATCCCGCCAGCGTATACTGTTAGCACAGGTGGAGTTACCTTTCCATTATCATCCATAAAAAAAGACATTGCAGGATATGGGTATTTTAAATTGGTTTGTGTTTAAGTGTGTATATAGTTTCATCTTTTGTCTAAACAGTATCAGATAATATCGATTGTTCTAATTGTTCCAGGTGAATGTTTAACATCAGGCCGGTACCCCTTCAAGTGTCTCCAGTTCGAGTTACCACCAGATGTGGAGCCTGAAGAGGTAGCCGTTGTCGAGCTGTGGTTCTACAAGGTATCTATTGATTTGTCAATTTATTGTACCTGTCTCTTGATGCCTACTAGGACTAGGGAAAAAAAAATTAAAAAAATGTAATATTTGAAAGAAACTTGAATTAGTATGAACAATAAAAAAAAAATTCTCTATTTTTAAGTTGGTTAAAAAAATGATTACTACAATTAGATTATATTGTGATAAATTAAGATAATTGCTCTGTACGGATCAACAAACAAACAGTGAAATACTTATTTTATTGATTGGAGAGGATAAATGAAAGAAGAATTACGAAAGAGGTTTATCGAGCAAGAATGAATGGAAATGTCGGTAGGGGCCGTTCTAGACGGACGTATGTCGACCAAATAGGCGACGTGCTGAAGAAGGGTCAAATTAAAAGTACCCGTAACCTGCGAGCGTGTATGAAAAGATTGATGAATGTTGAAGAAGCGAAAGAAGTTTGTTTGAATCGAAGCATTTGGCGTTCTATTGTTTCTGCCTACCCTAATTGGAGACAAGCGTGACAGATATGTATGTATGTATGTATGGAAAATGGTTCAGATTTAGTAAAGGCATCGTTGATCGCCTAACAAAAAAAAAAAAGATAATTGAAAACCTGATTTGTTTTTGAATTGGCTTAAACATATTGAAAGAATAAAATAGTATTTTTAATATTATTAAATAATAAGCAATGAAAAATGGAAGTATATATATTTCACAATATCTTTGTATTTTATTAGGAACGTGACCCTTTGGACGAATACAACCAGACCTTCGTCATCTCTGAAGCGGCTCACTGGGACAGCCAGCAGCAATTCAAGAAGACCAGGCCTATTGCCATCAAGGAGACGGATACCGGCGAAGGCTGGGTCCGAGTGGAATTAGCCTGGGCTGTGAGGGTCTGGCTAGAGGGCCGCGAGAGACTGCATACGCTACACGTTGCCTGTAGAACTTGCCAGGTTAGTATATAAAGTTATTGAACGTATAAAGTAACAATTTCAATTCAATTTCATGATTGCGACCAAGATTTTTATACAACATGATAACAAGCAAGCAAAATAGACATGAGCAGTACCATGGACTTAACAGAGTATATTGTTTCGCCTATGATACCCCCCATGTGTTGCCATTCCTGAGGGCTTAGGTTTTTTCCTCTGTACCCTATAAACTCACAACTTCAAACCGAAACACAGCCATGCAAACACGACTGCTTCACGGTAGAAACACGAATGGGACAGAGGTGCTCAAGCAAACGACTTTTGTACAAAGTCTCCCTCTAGTCATGCGTTGCCATTCTTAAGGGTTATGATATTTTTTTAAAAGAGTGCAAATGTTTAGTACCTATATACTGAAGGGGCACCAGTGGGAGATGATAAATGAGGATGAAAGCAGGCTAATTAACCTATCTTTAAAGAAGTATTATCAACCTTGATGGTTTGCAGGGGGATCGCGTAGAATTATGATGTTGTATCATTGTACCATGTAAATTCACTGCTGTATTCCTTTATTTATTATCCACGTATTTTTGCTTGAAGGCAGAAACACGAATCGTACAGATAACTTATTGTACAGTTTTCCTCAACTATGAAACGGTTTATCGAAGATGTTACCCATTTATAAACGTCTTGTTATGCCATCTAGTTTTTTGCATCCTACCTATCCTGTATTGGTTTTATGTCATAATTAACCCTTAATTAACTATTTTACAGCTGCGCCGCGCACCTCTGTCCTTCCACAAAAAACACCGTCCATTCCTAGTGTTATACACCAAGTATGCTGGTAAAAGGCGCCGTGGCCGAGCGGTGGACTGCTCAGCGACCACCAGCGAGTGCTGCCGGGAGCCACTGTACGTGAGCTTCAAGGAACTCGGTTGGGATGACTGGATCATTAGGCCGGAAGGCTACCACGCCTACTTCTGTAAAGGAACCTGCGCCCCTATATCCGCTGTCACCACCGCGGAAAGTTACCATCACCATATTATTAGGGTGAGTTGATTATTGTGTTTTTATAACAAGATAGTATGATATAGTAGGCCTCATGGGGTTAAGCAGCCATAGTAGATACATTCTTGTATGTACAAAGGCATCACTCGAATGTTGTTGACCCTTGAGACAAGACCTTTAAATCTTTCAAACTGGTACCCTGTGTAAGAACATGTTTGGTGAAAGAAGTAAGTGAGATAAAGTTAGATGCTGAGGCGTTTATATAGAAGGTTTTTTTTTAGCAATTTAATACTTAAATACAAATTGTTTATAATGCCGAAGGTAGACATTTGCTAGACTACTAAGGGATATTAATGTAATAATTATAGCTCTGCTAAGTAAAAAGTATTAGAGTATGTGCCAATCTAGGATTGCTAGGATGATTCATCTGTGTTTTTTAATGGGTGATAATGGTATGGTAACCCCGTCTTCGCTATCGGTATATGCTTGCGAGGCACCAGTAAGGGACGATAGGTGAGGATGAAGCAGATCAATTAGCCCATCGTGACGAATCCAACAAGAATTGTTCACGATGGTTTCCAAGGGGAACCACGTGGAGGTCGACCTAATATTGCTAGCAAGTGGGCTGTCAAACTCCACTGCCAACAATCCCTTCCACTCCAGTTCATCTGTGTTAGGTGTGTGTGAGGTAGACTTCATTTAAATTCATTTAGTTATTCGGTGTAATAAGTTACAATCATTTATACTTTTACAAACGTTCTCATTTCTATCAGTCTCGTCGCATCGTGTATCAAAAAACAAAATATTGATTTTCCTTTTTTTTGTCAACAGAAATATTTCTATACAGTTACAAATAAGAAGATTCAGTTCAACCCGTGCTGTGCGCCGACCACGTTCAGCTCATTACAGTTATTGTACGTGGACTCGAACAATACGGTGACGCAGAAAACCTTACCCAACATGGTAGTAGAATCCTGTGGATGTATGTGACCACTATGTGATATAGACAAAGTGATCCCGTGAACTTGTGTCGCCTTACAACTTATTTATTTAATCTACTTACGTAGGCTGAATACATTGTGTTCTTTGCATGAATTGATTCTGGTGTAAAAAAAATCATCTACGCAGTTTTTTACATTACATGTGTTGTAAGTGTTTTTGACGGACATAAAATACTTCGAAGACTTCTTATATGACATAGCGTGGACAATTAATTTAGTATTAGGTGTATTTCGAATTGACGTGTGATTTTTAAATAAGTCATATTTTTATGTATATAATTGTTTTGATTGTGTGAATGTATGGAGGAACAAAAGATGTGATATTTTTTAATTCTCCAATATAGATACTTAAATAGGATAGGAAATATATTTTACTGTGGTTCGGCAAATTTCTACTTTTAACATCTAATATTGTATGAATTAAATGTTCTCAACTCACGTTTTTACGATAAATTGAAAAATGGATTATTAAACAAACTGATATTAAGCCACTTTATAAAAACGTCGACTTTTCATAAACTATTGTAGTTATTGAACTCTTTTATCTCGTTTATATACTGAATTCTTAATTTGAAATGACAAAACAGTGTTTATAATTAAAAAAATTATTTTAGTGATACAGCTAAAAAGGTACAAACCTGTTTACATGTAAATCGTATATATTTATGTCTATAGGTGATTTACTTCTTGTTTACAGTAAATTTGTTGTTAATAAAATTAGATCATACCTACTTAATTAGTACGTAATCTGGTACAGACTAATTAATATAAGATTTTCTCGAATGTAATCGTTTAATTATTTCAGTGTCTATTAAATGAGAGAATTGCCAACACTAAATATGATTCATGTACGTACAAATTATTTAATTGTCTATGTTTTTTTTTTTAATATGATTGAATAATTAATGTGATGTTAGTCAACAAATTAGGTATTTAAAGGTATTTAGTGTTGAATATTTTCATTTCAATTTATAATAGTGCATTATTCCAGTGAAAATGTTCTTATCCCATTGTTTATTGCCTACTTAAATTTTAAATTGTGATATAGTTAATTTTAAACTACATAATTATAAATTATTTAATGTTTTTGTAAAATTCTTAATCTATCAAATGTATCTATGACCCAGTTGAGTAATTGATTCTTAACTTTTGACATTTTTTGACCGATTAAGAGTTTTACTTGTACATTTAAACAGGTGCCTAAATGAATGTTGTATCAATTGGTCATCTGTTGAAATTAAATTAATTATAGTACATTTATCAATGCATTTATTATTTAGATTTAATATATTTTGATATGCAAACATATACTTATGAGAAAAACTGAATTTGCTTTAGTAATTAAGTCTAGTAGCGAGTATTTAGCTGCTAAACATGTCTCAGTAAAACAATTAACCTAATGTTTATTTAGATATACGTATATTACATAACTCGTCACTTGACTACATTAAATTAACTTATTCTATGTTCTCCATCTGAGCGTATATGCTCATGACCTAAGAACAAGGAATTACATAGAAGGAATGATAAAATAAAAACTGTAAATAATATGGTTACCTCCTTTTTTATTATGCAAATATAATTAGTAAAAAGAGGACGAAAGGTACACTATAAATTGCTATTTTTGTCAATTCATAGCAGGCTAATGTATAAAAAATGTTTGATTTGGCCATTATTTGTCAATGACAAATTGTACATTACTAGATTATATATTCGACACAGTTTATGTAGAAAGTATGCAAGCAGGTTGTATCTGAATTTGGTAGGGTTATACAGCCGTATAACATTTTCTACTACATATGATTTACAGATTTTATTTTATCATTCATTCTATGTAATTTCTTGTTCTTAGCTCATGACTGTAATCTGTGATGGTACAGAGGCATTTGTCGATTGTTCGTGTGAATTCTATCAAAGAAATTGTGATTTGTAAAAATGTTTTTGTCTTCAGTTTTTCTGTTATGTATTTCTGTGCATATGGAAATGTTTTATTATTGTATTTACGTTAACTGTAACATACGTATGATAAATTATCAATCTATTATATAATATAGTTTAAGTTTAATTAGCCGAGAATTTATAATAATCGCTTATAATAGGTAGGTGTTTTTATAAATTAATAACGGGTCGATTCTGAATTTTTGAAAATTATTCTTTTATAAATTAAATTCCGTTATTGTTGATCCAAAAAATCATTACATTAAATTATTAATTTAAAATGTTAATTTTAAAAAAAGGTTTAGGAATATAATTTCAGAATCGATGCCAATATAATTATTAATTTTGGCAAAAAACCGACTTAAATTTTAACAAATTCGAATGGGCTCATTCCAAAGCCAATTAAATAATTAATCATGACATTTGATTCTTAATTAAAAGACAGCGTTTAATATAAACACAAAAAACAGTCTAATTGAAAAGCTACCAATTTCAAATAAGGTTGAAATTTGTTGAAAAATAATGAATACGTAAAATTTTGTAAATTATTATTTTTCAATTAACATATTACTGTGTATTGATTTTAAATGTCAGTTTTTTTCTTAAGTCTCACGAGACTTTATTCTCAATACATTTATATTTCATACCTACATTTATTTTGTAATGTACTTAAAGTTTCTCTAATAACACATTATTGTATGGCCAATGACAGAACAATTGCTTTTGTTGATGCTGTATAACTCCATGTAGTCTATAGGCAGGTGAAGTCGTATTCATTATGGTCCTTTTATGAGTGTTCTATCCATAGACTTACTAAGGGCGGGTAATATACAGCATATCTATATACTGTAATTATAAAATCTATCCATATATTGGTATAATAACATCAGTTATCCAATAAATACGTGTAATGCCGAAAAGAAGAACCCGCTTGTAATGAATATAAATATCCGACTGGTGTGGGCGATATCGCAAGGGTGGTCATCAAAGTTTGAAAAAACTCAATGTATGGATATCGGATATTACCCATACCTGAAACTGTTAATTAACAATATTCTCCAAAGAAATGTACTTTTCATAAAAAAAAAAAGCCAAGTTATTTGGTTATTTAAAATTTTATTATTTTTATAAGTTGATTGGGAGAGAATGCTATATATATATATATATATATATATATATATATATATATATATATATATATATATATATATATATATAGTAAATAAATGCTTTATAAATACTATCTAAGTACAGAGTACTTACAAGTGGAGGTCCTATTGCTAAGAAATCGCTTCTAAACAAAAGTTGAAGGAATTACTGAATAGATGTAGACATGTATTAAGTATGTATAAATATCTATTGAACGAATTAATGACTGAAAACTCTTTATTGTTCCTCTTCAAAGAATGGTACAGTTTATAACAATATGTACACAAACAAAATTTACATATTGAAAAATGTACCCCTTGAACTGGAGAGGAATGATTAAAATTGTGTTTGGTTAAGGCTTAATGTTTATATTGAAAAATGTATGAACATTTTTATATTTATATGTTATTAAACTTCACTGCTACACTACTATGGTAAAAGGATGCTAATGATACGATTTCAACCTGCAGTGTATGGGGACATAATACTCATACACATACACATGCATATGGGCGATTCGTATATAGATATTGATAAACGTCCGTGGCTCTTGTAGAACTAGTGTGGTTCCTTCGGTGGTATTTTGTATACATTTGTATTGCGATACATATGTATGTATAAATGTGTATAAGTATTATGGCCGCGTACACACCAACTTTCCAAGTATTATGTAAAGTGTAAGGATAAGATTTGTTAAATAAAATCTTTTTAATATAAATTTAAACATTGTCTTTTATTGATTACTTACTTTTACGCGCGACGTTATCCGCGTGGGTGGGGTATGTTAACTGATTGGCGTAATCCTCCAATATCCTTCTCCATCCCATATAGTTCGTGTATAACAAATTTCATAGTGATTGATTATAAGGTCACAAACAAATTCACTTGCATATTATAATATCATGGTAAAATTATGTTTATGTATACAGGTAATAAACATATAATCAGTTATCAACTAAAAACACAACCAACATGTTTAATTCCAACTAGTAGATTAGTGAATCGGGTATTTTTTTATACAACTTAGAATGGCAAACAAGCTGACGGCCTACCTGATGGAAAGAGGTAACCGTCGCCTATAGACATGAGCAGTACCATAGAGGTAACAGAGTATACTGTTTCGCCCATGATACCCCCCATGCGTTGCCATTCCTGAGGACTTAAGTGTTATTCCTCTGTACCCAGTAAATCCACTACCATATCCCACCCTTCAAACCGAAACACAGCCATACAAATACAGCTGCTTTACGGTTAAACACGAATGGGACAGAGGGGTTGCCATTTCATTGTCATTCATTAAAAAAAATCAAAGAGAAATTTTGCTTGCTGATAAAATGTCCGTCACCTGACTATAATATCTGTGAATACCACAGCAAATAAATAAAAGGGGCAAACGGGTAAAATAAAACCAAATATGCTTATTAACATCACAACATGATTTAATAATTACAAAGCATAAAGATCACAAGAAATGCATCTAAGTCGTACCATAAATTATTACGACATACACAAATTTATTATAAATACTTCACTTAAATCTAACAGCCCATCCATAGACAATCACTCGTTATCTGCCCATAAAAATCGTCATAAAGATACAAGAGACAGATACCTACAAATTTTAACAATATTTCGATTCTAATTTGTTAGAACTTAACCAAGATTATTAAAATCAAATGGAGATTAAAAAATTCCAATAAATTTAACTTTATGACGTTATATTTATGCCTCGATGCCACTGAGGAGTGTGAACGGATTGGAAGGTCCCCATTGTTTAACAGATTTCAATCTACTTTTGTTACTACTGGGCAAAAAAATAATATTTACCCTCTGTAATGGTAAATCGCAGTGGAAACTATGTCGTTAAGGCCTACTGTCCGACTGCTGCATCATACACTGTCCTTTAGGATTGCTTTCTATTTTTCTCGGGTATTCCCATAGGCTATATATATATATATATATATATATATATATATATATATATATATATATATATATATATATATATATATATATATATACTGTTTTGTTACAACACAGGGGGCAAACGAGCATGCGGCTCACCTGATGGTAAGTGACTACCGCCGCCCATAATCACCCACAACACCAACGGCATTGCAGGTGTGCTGCCGGCCTTTTATTATGTGTATGTTTGTATTGTAATTTGTGTGCTGTAAGTAATGTAAATAAATTATCTATCTCTCTATCTATATGAATAAAGCGCGAAAAAACATTTAGTCCTAACCTCCATTTTGATTTTAATAATTTGGTGGACTTAAAGCGTATACAAGTGAAAATTACTGAATACTTATATGTAGGATATGTCCTAAGGAGATTTCTTATAGTACATTATCGCAGCGGCCAGCAACTGAGACATTGAAGGACGAACGTGCAAATGTGGGCCGAGGCGTAGCCGAGGCACACATACGTGAGTCCATCAATGCTTAGTTGTGGCCAAGGCTTGTATAGTACTTTTCTCAAACAATGCGCGGAAATCAAAAACACAATTTTACTTTTTAAGTTCAATGACGAATAACGAACAATAATAATTTTTCACGCGCCATAATGTTCCTTTTTTTTTTCAATAAACAGGTTTCTATTTGCAAGCCAATTCGAAATATAAATAAAACCCTTTATTAGTTACCTCCTTGGTAGCTATGTTTCGAAGTAAAAGGTCATTCCATTTTTAAATTACAAGACAGATATGAGTTTACATAGTAATTTATCTGGCTGCAAAACGCACAGATATGGATTTTCATACAACTTTTGCCGGCCGCTGCCCGCATGTATCTTGGCCAGTACGGCAATTTTGATTTATCTCGAAGAAGATTATCAAAATAATGCTCACATTTCCAAGCATGTTTGAGAAAATATTTTTAATTACAAAGGATACATCGTATATGTATAAGTGTAAATGTATAAGTGTTTATGTATAAAGTATAAGCTACAAGCACAAGTTAAGCGCTGCGGTGCTTTTTCCTCTATATGACAAAATCTGCAAACACTTGCCATATTTAATATAGGTATAACAAAATAATATAAAAAAAAAATAATATGAGAAATTGTTTAGCCTTTTTTATGTACTTTCTTTTTGTTATTTTTTTTATAAATGTTTTGTTTATTTCTTTAAATATGTACCAACAGCTAATGCTATTTGTGTGCTGTAAGTGATGCAAATCAATTATATATCTATCTATCTATCTATCTAATATAGGTGTATTTTAGCCATTTATTTTGAAAGACAACTGTAGTTAGTCATATACATTACGCTAATTAAGAAATCATCCTTAAGACATACAGAATTTAGTTATTAAATAAATTTGACCAGATAACAACACTCCGTATTTACTGTAATAAATAAATGTATATACATCACAGAAATTGAGGACGCATGTCCGAATTATGGCAGAAATAAATGTTTTTTTTTTTTTTAATATAATTGAAGTACTCTAGTTAAACGGTACGTAATGATGAATTAATGAATTTAATGAGGAAGCCTCGTGACGGTTACACTTATTTTGTATTCGACTGTCAAAAAATATTTTCCAAGCACTTACACTTACACAGTAACACTTCCTAAATGAAATTGGTAACAAATTTAAACACTTAACCAATTAATATATTTTGGATTTCATACTACTGTTGGACATCAACAGACCTTCTCGTGGTTGTGTTGATTATTTATTTGTTTACATTTTTATTACATTCTATTGACATAGACTATTAAAAGTGGTAGATTTAATTGGCTTTACATATTATGCGACGACACAGTAGTTCCTATATATACGCGTACAAGGTATGTAGTGGGATAATATTGTTAAGTAATAGACTTTATACATATGTATATATATATATATATATATATATATATATACACTTGTGACACTTCGAATTTGCAAAGAATCTTTATTTCTGCGTTTAATTGGACATAATTAAGGCTCCATTTGTGACTTAAACTACTTAAAGTTACAACTTACATCTAAGGACAACACTTTTGGAATGGTTTGTATAAATCACAAGCCTTGTAAAATTTGGCCTAAATGTACGGGCGTTTATCACATTAGTGGCGCGCGAATAATAATTTTAAATAATGGAAGAACGTGTAAATTTTATATTAATTAACATTTTCAAAGTTTTACAACATTTAATGTTTAATTAAAATATTTTAGAATATTTATTTATATTATAAATTATACACAAATCGCAACTAGGCATGGGTAATATATGGATACCGATCTGATATCTATATATCGAGTTCCTCTGGACATTGATGGCGGGAAAAAGGTCATCGCCCATTTCAATATCGCCCATATCAGGATATTATAATAATATATAATCGCCCATATATAATCCCTATTGCATTAAATAAATAAATAAACCATGTTAATGAATACTAACATTAGTTTTAAGAAATGGATTACATTAAAAAAAATTTTTACACGCCACTTAATTTATTTTTTCAAGTTTAAAATAATACATCGATATAGTAAGACATAGTTAAACTACATTTTTAGTTTTATACTCTTCTTAAGAGAAAGCAGTTCAGTTCATATACTTCTGTTCTATTCTATAAACATTACTTCTAGATTTCGGATTGCTATACCATTTCATTACATATTGTATATGGCAGGCAAATATCATTTTAAATTTAATTTTAATACGTACAAATATTAATTGTAAAGGCACTAAATATGCAATGTACACACAGTACTATCGCTTGAATGTATTGTATACCACGGGAACATAATCACAATGGGGGAAAGGGGTTGTTAGTAACGCGAACTACTAGTTCTATTGCTAGCAATATACGCTACCAGGTCGTGATGGAACCTCTACGTGGTTCCTTTTGGAAACCATCGTGCTCAATTCCAGGTGTATTTTTTTTTAATGGGTGATAATGGAATGGTAACCCCACCCCGCCTGCGCTATCGGTATACTCTGGCGGGGCACCAGTGAGGGATGATAGGTGATGATGAAAGCAGGTCAGTTAGCCCATCGTGAAAAACTCCCAAGAATTAACCACGATGGTTTCCAAGGGGAGCCGCGTGGAGGTTGACCTGATAGGATGTATTGCTGACAATGGGTCACTTAGATCCCATTACTAACAATGCCTTTCCCCCCATTCCAGGTGTGTTCATCACGATGGGCCAACTGGCCTGCCTTTTTATTCTCACCTATCATCCCTCACTGGTGCCCCGCTAGTGTATACCGTTATCGAAGGTGGGGTTACCGTTCCATTATTACTACTGATTAAACAAAAACATGATTACAATAATTTCAGATTTTGTTCATAGTAATATCGTCTCCCATACACAGTCGAGTTTATTTATAAATAGTAAGTTACCGTGGTATACAATGCAGATATGTCACAGCATCTGCATCGCGAGTCACTGATCAACTGTCTGATGGTTTCTCTACCAGAGAGTGTACAATTCGTCGTCTTATTACTGAACCAAGTGATCAATTATCGTTTATAGTTAACCTCATGATAAACCCAATTAGCCTTGACTTATTGATCTATGCACACTTCCAAATACTAGGTATTGGTCGTTGCTTAATTTATAGGTGTGGAGAATATATAACTATATGGGGGAAAAGGGATTGTTAGCAATGGAGTTTGACAGCCCCATTGCTAGCAATATGCCCATATTAGATCGACCTCCACGTGGTTCCCTATGGAAACCATCGTGAACAATTCTTGTTGAATTCATCACGATAGATTAACTGACCGGCTTCATCTTCACCTATCATCCTTCACTGGTACCTCGCAAGCGTATACCGATAGCGCAGACGTTACCATATATATATATATATATATATATATATATATATATATATATATATATATATATATATATATATATATATATATATATATATATATAGTATTAAAATGAAGAACCCGATCGAAATGACCGTCTTCTCGCCATCATTGTCCAGAGGAATTCAATGTATAGATAGATATAGGAGTGATATTAATATTATATGCGTATAAATTTTTATAAATGGCATTTTTGAAAATAGTACTTGAATCATAAAGACACATAGATAAATTAAAAGATATTTCGTAGACGTACATATATTTCGTTATGTAATTTAACGATAAGACCAACTTTTATACTTTATATGTGTAATATAATTTCATATTACACATATCGCTAATGCAACCTCTTCCAAACAACTTTGGGTAGACGAAATAACTAGTATCAAGAAATAATTCTTGTAAAAAGTAATGTACAGTGGTACCCTGCCCTTTGGTTGTTTTGTAAGAGAGGGACCTGGCTGAAAACCAGCGCTGTGCAGCTGTTCACATTACGCAGGGACACTCACAGCATCCGCTGAGCCGGTTCCTTTTGCCGGGTGTGGAACACTTTTTGTATATGTCATTTATATTTTATATTGTAAGTTTACTGGCAATAAATGTTTCTATTCATTCTTTTATTCATTCTAAAAAAAAAACATTTTCATTAAGTTCCATTGACACTAGACATATATTGTTACAGTAAGTAGTTTAATAAATTATATGTATTTGATATTTTTGTGCATTACAGGTTTTTGTACTTTATGCACGAAAAATTATTAATTCACTCTTGCGCCACCTACCCACTTGTATCTGTTCTCCTTTAACCAAAGGTTGTCTGTAAGAGATTGCACTAGCGATAAGACCGCCTTTTGTACCTTTATGTGTATATTTCAATCTGTATTTATGTTACTGTATTTCACTTGAATTATTCAATTGTCGTTGTATATTTTTATTTATGGTGCAATAAAGAGTTAAATAAATAAATAAATACTATATTATGACCGATGACCAGTGACTTGACAAGGAGCCTATGACGTACGCCTCTAACATCTCTGTTGTCTCAGCACCATGTCAAATTTCACAACAACAATTCTGTTATAATAATAAATTAGCGACAAGCTCACTATTTCTTCAACGCATACAAACATATCTAAGGTACACGATTTTACATTAGTTTACATACAATCTGTCCGCACTCAAAAATTTCATGACATTCATTAAGAACATGTCTACGAATGTAGGGCTCACCGGGGACAAGGTAGTCATCAGAGGGAGACTTTGTACAAAACTCGATTGCTTGAGTACCTCTGTCCCATTTGTGTTTCTACCGTGAAGCAGTTGTGTTTGCATGGCTGTATTTCGGTTTGAAGGGTGCGATATGGCGTGAATTTACAGGGTACAGAGGAATAACACCTGAGTCCTCAGGAATGGCAACGCATGGGGGTATCATGGGCGAAACAGTATACTCTGTTATGTCCATGGTACTGCTCATGTCTATAGGCGACGGTTACCAATTTCCATCAGGTGGGCCGTCAGCTTGTTTGCCATTCTAAGTTGTATAAGAAAAAATATATAAAAAAATGTGGAATGTAGTGTTTAAACTATTTACAGTTATTTTATTTTGACATGTTCTAAGGCAATAAAGAAGCAAGTATATAGGTATTATTTACCTATAAAGGCTTTTACATCGCGTTAAGTCCCGTTTATGTTTTTAAAATATGTTTTATTTTGAATTTGTCTTTAGCGACTCAGTTTCGAGTCAATATTTCATCGTAACTTCTAATATTTATACACAAAATAGTCGTCTAGACGCGACTCTCATTATTTCTTACTAACTAAACTACTTCGTAAAGTCGCCCGTTACTTATTCCTTTGCAAACTATTTCTTGTAAATATTGTTTCTACTAAGTTTTTTCTTTTAATTTTTTTTTTTTATAAGAACTATGAAGAGCATGTATCTGTTTGTTTGTCTACATGTCGTATGCCATGGTTAGAGTGGGATTTTTTGCAGTTTCCCACGGGAACGGGATTGTTTCCCGCGGGAACAACGGTTTCCGCGCGGATATAGCCGCCCGATTTGGGTATGTGTATAAGAGAAATCACTATAATTACGTTGGATCGCTTCACTTGTCGCCGGTGGTCAGTTTGGCGGTCTCGCTGTCGGTGGGTGGCGCCGGCTCGCTGCTCGCCACTTTGATGACGGCGGGCGGCGGGGTGGTGGGCGGCTCAGGTCGCGTCGCCAACGTTAATACGCCTGAGTTCACGTCTTCTATTGCTTTCCGGAGCTGTGTATGATAATGTTACGTTACAATTTGTATACTATAAACAAGATGTGGGTCTATTGGGGGGGGGGGGGGGGGGGGGGGGTGTCAATAGTTGCCACCCTTGGTAGGCGGGTTAGTAATCGCAGTTAAGCTTTGTAGATGTTTTAAGAGGGACGCTGCCGCCCATCCCTCGCCCTTCCTTGGTCGATTCTTACGAGACCCACGGGAAAAGGTTACTGCGGTGACCAATCTGCCTGCCAAGCGTGCCAACTACTGATAAAATCTCCCAATGGAGAGGCTTATGTTTAGCAGTGGACAGTTAAAAGCTGATATGATTAAACATGCTGACATACGGGATAGTCCTTCCATTACTTCCTTCATGAGAAGACTGAAATCACATCTTTTAACCAATTGTACATGATAATTCTATGCACTTATACATATGTATATATATTTATCTATTTACTTATTTACGTATTTATTTATTAATTTATCTATTTATTTATATATATTCACAATTTGTGTTTGTTGTATTTACATTATTTTCACCGGTACCTTTCCTGCACTGGATTACCCAAATTAAATTCTTTTCTCTCTAACTGCACTGGGTTGGCTGGAAGAGATCTCTTTCAGAGATAAGTCCTCCCTTGCTAATAACAACTAATCATTGTATGTATTGTTTAAGTGCAATAAAGAATATATAACATTCACAAAATTGATAAAAATATTATATCTAAAATTAACATTTTTATTATGGCAACAAGCTCGAGATCTTTATTCGAGTCTCTGTCGGAGAAAGCATTAGATGATGATCATGATGATTTATTAATATCATCACTCTCATTCGTACTCACCTCCTTGAGCGAGACGACTCCGATGAGCCGTCCGATGGCAGTCACATACGCCCGGCTCACGCCCAGCGTGGAGAACAGCGAATGGACCTACAAACACAGTTATACATTATAAATATAAATAACATGACAACTTTTTATTATTCCCTTCCTTTAAAGGGAATAATAAAAAGGTTATATATATATATATTTTTTTTTTCTAATATTGCCATTAGATTTGCTTTTTAAATAATATGTCTTCTATATTATATATATATTTATATATATAATACAGAATATATATATATATATATATATATATATATAATTGAAAAAGTTCGACTAGTTTCGGGATAAATTCGTGATCCATAATCATGAGCGGCTGTCGCCGATGCGCGAATAATAGTTTATAATTTGATATCTGTGCGATTCTCTTGACTCCATCATCACCCACCAATACTGGTGCCCCGCCAGCGTATACCAATAGCGAATGAATGAATGAATGAGATATGTTACATACTAAGAAAAAGGAATTACATAGAACGAATGATAAAATAAAAACTGTAAATCATATGGTTGCCTCCTTTCTTCTTATGCAAATATAATTAGTAAAAAGAAGACGAAAGATACACCATCAGTTGCTATTTTTCTCAATTCATAGCAGGCTAGTGTATAGAAAATGTTTGATATGTCAATTATTTGTCAATGACAAATTTTACATTGCTAGATTATATATTAGACACAGTTTATGTAGAAAGTATGCGAGCAGGTTGTATCTGAATTTGGTAGGGTTATACGGCCGTATAAAATTTTCTATACACTAGCCTGCTATGAATTGACAATATGATCACTCCTTCTATGTAATTACCCTGTTTTTGGGTTACGTATGAATCGTTTAACAATAGGAATGTGTTTCTATACGTACTTTGAGCAGCGACGTCCTCTCGACCAGTTGGAAGGGAGCCGGGTCGATGTGGCATATGTACAGGTTCTCATCATCGTACTCCGGGTCCTCGGGGTGCTGTGGATTTTGCGGTGACGTATATAATTTCATCATTTACCAGAGGGAGACTTTGTACAAAAGTCGGTTGCTTGGGTACCTCAGGCACATTCGTGTTTCTACCGTGAAGCAGTTGTGTTTGCATGACTGTGTTTCGGTTGGAAGGGTGGGATATGGCAGTGAATTTACTGGGTACTGAGGAATAGCACCTGAATCCTCAGGAATGGCAACGCATGGGGGATATCATGGGCGAAACAGTATACTCTGTTGTGTCCATGGTACTGCTCATGTCTATAGGCGACGGTTACCACTTTCCATCAGGTGGGCCGTCAGCTTGTTTGCCATTCTAAGTTGCATAAAAAAAAACATATTCCACTATTATCGCTACGGTAATAATCAAATGTCGTAGGAGGCAAGGGAATGTTAGTATTAAAGTTTTTTTTTTTTTTTATACAACTTAGAATGGCAAACAAGCTGACGGCCCACCTGATGGAAAGCGGAAACCGTCGCCCATAGACATGAGCCAATAGCTACATTACCAGCTAAATACTCTATTAGGTCGACCCCCATGTAGTTTCGACTGGAAATCATCATGATTGATGTAACTGAATACATCACGACGGGCTAATTGACCTGCTTCATCCTCATCGATCATCTCACACTGGTGCTCCACCAGTGTATACCAATAGCGCAGGTAGAGATACCATTCCATTTTTATCCATTAAAGAATGTGACGACATTGTGTTGCTAGCCCGACGACGGTCGGGCTAGCAACCCCATTACTAACAATACACCCTGTTAGATCGACTTCTTCGAAGTCCTTCGTGGAAACCATCGTGTTTAATTTTTTTTATACAACTTAGAATGGCAAAAAAGCTGACGGCAACCTGATGGAAAGTGGTAACCGTCGCCTATAAACATGAGCAGTACCATGGACATAACAGAGTATACTGTTTCGCCCATGATACCCCCCATGCGTTGCCATTCCTGAGGACTCAGGTGTTATTCTTCTGTACCCTGTAAATTCACTGCCATATCCCACCCTTCAAACTGAAACACAGCTATGCAAACACAATTGCTTCACGGTAGAAACACGAATGGGACAGAGGTACCCAAGCAATCGACTTTTGTACAAAGTCTCCCTTTGGTATTATGTCATCGATTTTATTGTATACCTTATTTGGAAAGGCACACGATTGAATATTCTATTTTGTTATATAATATTTCTGAAACTTAATTTATTTTTTAAACGAAACCATGCCAACCTTTCCAAGGTCGAAGTCGGTTTGTTTACGTATAAACTTACCATGTCCCTCTTCCTGGCGATCTGCAGCATCCTGTCGAAGTCGATGTCCTTGGCCATCTCGAGCTGCTCCCAAGCCTTTTGGTCCTCCGGAGACATGTCGCATACGCGCTCGCGGGGCTGAAACAATGAACACATTGATGCTCCGCTACTGGGTACGAGTCTTTGCTCATAAGGTTTTTTGTGCATTTTGGGATACGACGCAAGGTGATAGTCTACGTAACAGAAAAAAGTAATACTAATAGAATGATAAACAAACTGACAGTCCACTTGTGACATTTAAATATGTAATACTAACAATATAATTTAAAATTCAATTAAAAATATAGTCTAAAGTAATTAAAAATATTTTGAGTGATTTTGAATTTATGGAAGGTATAGAATTTCTACTAATCTATGGGGGAGGCATAGGTCCAACAGTGGACGGATACTGGATGAAATGATGGTGATAGGAATTTCTTGTATTTTATAAGTTTCCGACTAATCACACGCATTTTATTATACGAGTATACTAGCGACCCGCCCCGGCTTCGCACGGGTGCACATTACATCACCACACATTAGAAACCTCTAAAATTATCAGTGTTTCTCTACTATATTATGTATATATTATAAATATAAACATTCCTCTTGAATCATTCTATCTATTAAAAAAATCCGCCTAAAAATCCGTTGCGTAGTTTTAAAGATTAAGTCATACATAGGGACGGACAGACAGCGACAGCGACTTTGTTTTATATTATGAAGTGATATAACTAATAATGCGGACGTTTGATGCTTATATAGGACCAAATGGATCGACCTTTTCGCATACACGTGCCTATTTTCCGCGAAAGGTCATCGAAAAAGCTCCGCAACATTTCCAAAATGCCTGCGATTAAATTATTAAACAAAATTAAGAACTTGAGCTATAAATGTCATCGATCTGTATATCTGTCATGTTTGTGACGGCTCGGTTAACTCACCAGCTGCACTTTCTTGTTGATGGAGGGGCTCCGCGGGACGCCCGGGGAGGCTAGTCCCCCCTCGGCCGCGTGTCCGTCGTGCACGTCCTGCAGCATCGACGAGCGCTTGAAAATCGCCTCGAACGCTGCACGGATCCTGCGAATTTATATTTTTATACACTTATTATACATCACCGTGTGGTCCTGGCATAGAAGAGGCTTCCTCTTCTGTTCCCGTGGATGTCGTAAGAGGCGACTATGGGCGGGCGAACGAAGGGCAGCAACGTTCATTTTAAAACATCTCCAAAGCCTAACTACGGTTGCCAATCCGCCTGCCAAGCGTGGCAAGTACTAGCAAATCCCTCCACGGGAGAGACTTATGTCCAGCAGTGGACAGTTAAAGGCTCGATTAAAGGTTGAGATCTCGGTCGAAGTTGGACTTACTCATTCGAACATATCCATAGTTATTTTAATTATTATTAACTCTCTTTTTTAATCAATGATAATGGAATGGTAACCCCGTCTGCGCTATCAGTATACGCTGGCGGGGTACCAGTGAAAGGTGATGTCTCCCCTGGAAACCATCGTGCTGAATTCCAAGTGTATTCATTACGATGGGCCAACTGACCTGCCTTTTCATCCTCACCTATCATCTATCGCTGGTGCCCCGCCAGCGTATACCGTTAGCGCAGGCGGGGTTACCATTCCATTATCATTTATTAAGAAAGTATCGCTGGTGCCCCGCCAGCGTTAGATGATCCATTATGACGAATCCTACAAGAATTAACCACCATGGTTTCCAGGAGGAATTATATGGAGGTCAACGTAACGGAGTATATTGCTAGAAATGGAGATGGTAGCCGTTACCTGGTCTCGGCGCCGGTGACGGTGGTGTAGACGGAGGGCTGCGGGGAGGTGGGCGTGTAGGGGGTGGCGGGGGAACCCAGGCCCCGGGTCAGCGTGAACGAATTAGTCTTCTTCAGGATCGACTTAGGCCGGAACAGGTGCCCTGGCGCTGGTGGGAACAGAACAATGGATGTGCTCAAGATAATCATCAATTTTATTTTGTGAAACTTTAGTTTGTATGTTAAACTCTACTCATATGGTAGATTACACTCACATGGTAGCAGTCCACCTTGGTCTTTCGTAGTTAACGAGCTGCCTCTTGTCATTCCGCCTGATGCTTGCAGCATATCAGGTGCTGGAGTTACCTGTCACATTTTACAAAGTAAGATTTCTATGCCACGATCCAAAATGCCTCATCATTCAGGAACACTAACAATTTAAAAAGAAATATTAAAGTAGTTTTTTTACTAGCAATATTAAAAATATCTAATACAATTTTTTTAATCTTGCCACAACAAAATTATCGCCAAATCAGTTACATTTTGCTATATATATAGTCCTCTGGAATGGCAACGCATGGGGGGTATCATGGGCGAAACAATGTGTTATGTCTATGGTACTGCTCTTGTCTATAGGCGACGGTTACCACTTTCCATCAGGTGGGCCGTCGGCTTGTTTGCCATTCTAAGTTGTATAAAAAAAATATTCTGTTTACACCATTGTCTATATAGTAACATGGATAAAACAGATTAGATTTATTACAAGATTATGAAGCCCATTGTAAAATTGCAGTAAGAAATCAACTTCTTCCATCCTCACCTCAAATCTTGAAGGTCTCCTGACCCTCCTCCTCTCCTCGTCTCGCCTCCTCATCTCCGCCTCGCGGTGCCACTGGGCTGCGATCTGGAGCCGCCTGTCGCGACCCACTTGGCGTTCTATCACCCTCACCAGCTCCCATCTGTGTATGGACCCCAGCAATACCATGGACGCTGGACTGTCCACTAATGGGAAGCTCTTTATTGTCTGAAAAAATATTCAACAGTTAAATACTTGTTTTATTCAATTGAGACTGATAAACAATCTGATATAATTCCTGTGAGAGTGGTGCCCTCTAGTGTTAAAGATATGCTGTTTACATTCTAGACGTTTCTTTTGATGTAGTTTAGCGAACAACCGCTTTGAATGTCTTTTAAAGAATTAATTTTTAAACGATTCTTATATGAGTTTGAAAATTTAGAGATTTATAGGTTAGGATTAAAACGAGCGCAAAGATAATGGAAAGGTCGCAGTGTCACAGGTTTTTTTTTGCCTGAAAAAGCCCGTATCCCAATAATAAATAGGTTGAGATTCGAATTTAGTCTGTCTGTTATATTGTAGTCTGTATCTATGAACCAATTATTACAAATAGTAGATTAACAGATACGTATTTTAGTTCTCCGTTTTATATCTCCTGATGGCAAACAAGCATACGACTCGTGTTATAGTAAATGGTTACCGTAAACCATGGACTACTATGAGCAATACTAGGATTACGTGCACGTTTTTGGATATTTTTGATAAAAATTACAACCTTATTCTCCTTGAGCAGGTCCTTCAGTTGCTGGAAGGTCATCCTGTTCCAAATGTACTTCACGTCCCGCACCATGAAGTCCTCCACGCATATGTCGTACATACCTGTAAGAAAATTTTACTACATTTTTGTTTTATGCAACTTAGAATGCCAAATACTGATGTTCCAATTGATAGAAAGTGGTAACTGCCGTCTGTAGACATGAACGGCACATTACAGAATATACTGTGACGCCCGTGGTACTCATGCGTTGCCATTCTTCAGGACTAAGGTTTTATACACAAAAAGAAAGCGGCACAAAGGTTAACCCAATAATATTAACGCTATAAGTATTTTACTCTTCAAAACTAATACACAAGCATACGGCCCACCTGATGGTAAGTGATTACTATAGCCTATGAACCCCTGCAATACTGAAGAAACCTCTTTACCCCCCTTTAGAAGAACCCCATGCTGTAGTCTGTTGGGAAAACCTCAGCAGGGAGCTCATTTCATAACCTGATTGATCGTGGGAGAAAACATCTCTGAAACCGCGCTGTACGCGTCCATTAAGGCTGTAGGGTATGAGGATGCACTCCCGATCATCATCGATGGCGAGTCGTTCGATGGTAGCAAGTGGCTGTGGGCATCATATTGAACGATTCCTCTGAGCACAATCCGTTTCATGCCGGTCAGTAAACATATCCCGGTAACGTTGACAATGTCGCGAGTAAACCTAGTAGACTATAAATGGAACAGTCCTGAACCAGCTGAATATATAATTATGTGATTTATTAATTAGCAAATATGAATTATTTAATTTATAACACAATTGTGCAAACATCATTTTTGTATCAGGTCTATACTTTCACCACGTCGCTTATAAGACGAGGTGGCCGAGCGGTTAAGGTGATGGACTGCTAATCCATTGTGCTCTGCACGCGTGGGTTCGAATCCCATCTTCGTCGGTATGTTTTTGATTAATTAATTAAGGTAATTACAGAAGTAGAGGGAGACTTTGTACAAAAGTCGATTGCTTGGGTACCTCTGTCCCATTCGTGTTTCAACCGTGAAGCAGTTGTGTTTGCATGGCTGTGTTTCGGTTTGAAGGATGGGCTATGGTGTGAATTTACTGGGTACAGAGGAATAACACCTGAGTCCTCAGGAATGGCAACGCATGGGGGGTATCATGAGCGAAACAGTATACTCTGTTATGTCCATGGTACTGCTCATGTCTATAGGTGACGGTTACCATTTTCCATCAGGTGGGCCGTCAGCTTGTTTGCCATTCTAAGTTATATAAAAAAAAAGTATCAAATTTCAAACGGAAGTTGTAAAATGACGACCGTATGTTGTGTATGTTAAATACTATGTCTTTTTTTATGCAATTTGAAATGACAAAAATACTGGCGGTTTATTTGAGGGAAAATGGTAAACGTCACCTATAGAGGCAAGGAACAGCAACATGGATATCACAGAATATCACTTTCTTCCTGAGGATTGAAGTGAAGAACAATATAAATAATTTTTAAATAGTGTCCCTCCATGTTAACACATCATGTTCCCCCTTCCTTTCCCGTGGGTGTCGTAAGAGGCGATAAAGGGAACTTAATGGTCGATGAATGGGCAGAAGCATCCCTATTAAAACATTACTAAAGCTTAACTGTGTTTACCAAACTGCCCGAAGTAAGAGAGGATCATTTTGTAGTTTTAGACCTTTCTTTCTTTGTGAAAAATGTTCCATTTTTCATAGTAGGATGCACCTTGTAAAAGAACTTATCGGTATAAAGAAAATTGAGCAATGTATATTTAAATAAATAAGAACCTTATTTTTTAAAAAGGGGGACGTTTTGACGTTTTGAATTCTAAACGGATATTAGTTTTTTTTTTCCAGTCGAAAGCGTGAACCCATTTGAGTGAAAAAAGAATTTATAAAAATCATGCCATCACTAATAATAAAGGATTTATTTTGTATAACATAGAAAAAAAAACAACAAAGGAAGTATTACATTGACTATTCGTACTGATTGATTTATTCAGCGTTAAACAACATAGGATAGATAGATAGATAAACACTTTATTGGAGCCATTTATGACACACGTAAATTAATGAATAAAATGATACAATTTGATTATATAAATTTTTTCAAATATATAAAAACATATAAAAATAGTCATAAAATAGTCATAGGATAGTCACTAAAGTCTTGAATACTAAAGATTACATGTTATATAAATATAATACTTATAGATTATGAAAGGGGAATTTAAAAAGTGAATCGACGAAGATGGGATTCGAACCCACGCGTGCAGAGCACAATGGATTAGCAGTCCATCACCTTAACCGCTCGGCCACCTCGTCTTGTACGACACATCATTGAAAAATACATTGGATTTATATAATTAAATATTATATATGTTAAACAGTACCAATTCAATGTTCATTCATGTTTTTTTTTTTATACAACTTAGAATGGCAAACAAGCTGACGGCCCACCTGATGGAAAGTGGTAACCGTCGCCTATACACATGAGCAGTACCATGCACATAACAGAGTATACTGTTTCGCCCATGATACCCCCCATTAGTTGCCATTCCTGAGGACTCAGGTGTTATTCCTCTGTACCCAGTAAATTCACGCCATATCCCACCCTTCAAATCGAAACACAGCCATGCAAACACAATTGCTTCACGGTTGAAATACAAATGGGACAGAGGTACCCAAGCAATCGACTTTTGTACAAAGTCTCACTCTGGTTTAATTTAACTTTCACATTTATGGTAGGTATCAGGAAGATTGCATTTTGGGAGTTTTGCCAGTAGTTGCCACACTTGGTAAGCAAGTTGGCAACCGCAATCAGGTTTGCTGATGTTTTAAGGAAACACTGCTGCCCATCCATCGACCATTACGTTCCCTTAGTCGCCACTTACGACACAGGAGAGGAAGGGGTGGCGTATTCTATGCTGGGACTACATGGCCAATGTATTGAAATATTAGTACAACGTTATTATATATGGTGCCTTTCAAAGAAAATGTGGCTTTTTTTTTTAAAATTTGAGAAACAGACTGAATCATGCATGTTTACATAAATACTGCGCAAATTTTTTAACCACTTAATGCAAAGGTTTTTCTGTCAAATGTGGTTAACTGGCGCACTGGCGCACGCACTAAATTCGAACTAGCATTCAATAAATATACACTAAGCTGTATGAAATACAAACGGGCGAGGTGCCGCTCCAGATAAAAATATAAGTGGCGAGAGGTACCGGGGTAGGGCAAATCGGAACACATTTGATGCGCGAGAGGGTCTCGTGCCAGATGCTTAAGGGGTTAATAAAAAAGTCATGCAATACTTAAACTCGCAAAAAATGCAATAAGTAATGGATATGTATCATAATTATTTGACCGAGATTATAGATTATTTGCATTTATAGACAAATACATATATATGTAAAGCACAGGGAAATCATAGGGTACAGAGGCGTAACACAGTAGTGCTTAGGAATGACAATGCATGAAGGTTATCTCTGAATAGCTGTCACTATGTATTTTGATATTTTTATGACAATAAGCGACAGTTACCATTTTCCATCAGGTGGACCGTCAAATAGTTTGCTACTCTAAAAAAAAAACAAATACTAATAGAAAAATAAATTTAACATTTGCCTTCGATGTCACGACGTGTCCAGCTGTCAAGTTAGTACGAACGGGCTCTTATAATGTTATGATTTAATTTCGACGAGCTAATAAATGTGGCTTGGAGTTATAACCATTAAAAAAAACTTAGCCTTTTCGATTCCTCTCGTTAGCTTTTTGAATTATTTTATAAATATTTTATTTCCGATATCTATAAAAGTGAATCGACGAAGATGGGATTCGAACCCACGCGTGCAGAGCACAATGGATTAGCAGTCCATCACCTTAACCGCTCGGCCACCTCGTCTTGTACATATATGATGAAAAATTTTATAACTTCCTATGTTAAGATTTTCCTGTGTTTGATGGTTTAAGATTCTGTAGTGTAAGATAGCTTAGACCAGTAAACAAACTGACAGCCCATCTGATGAAAAATGGCAACTGTCACCTACAAACGTCAACAGCGCTGTGGACATAACACAATACACTGTGACGCCCATCACATCATATCCCTTATGCACTACTAGTAGTAGTACCGTAAAGGAAAACTTTAAGACGTGTATGGATAAGTTTTTTTTTATACAACTTAGAATGGCAAACAAGCTGACGGCCCACCTGATGGAAATTGGTAACCGTCGCCTATAGACATGAGCAGTACCATGGGCATAACAGAGTATACTGTTTCGCCCATGATACCCCCGTGCGTTGCCATTCCTGAGGACTCAGGTGTTATTCCTCTGTACCTTGTAAATTCACACCACCCACCCACCCTTCAAACTGCTTTACGGTTGAAAGACGAATGGGACAAAGGTATTGGGTACGTCTTTTTGGGCAACCAACTTTTGTACAAAGTCTTCCTCTGGTAGTTTTTTGTGGGATACAATTTTTTTTATCATAGTAACATCGGTTGAGCGGTTTTGGAAATTACCATTTACAGTCATCGTGACACGACATTTTTATATAATAATAACATAATTGTGATGCATTTTAATAAGCCCGGTAGGTATGTATGTTTACTCAGCTGTTGCATAATCATATAATTAATTTGTATATCTGTTTGAACTTAGCAACATGTTAAGAGGTAATAGTTTTTGGTAAATCTCAACCAGAGGGAGACTGTACAAAAGTCGATTGCTTGGGTACCTCTGTCCCATACGTGTTTCTATCGTGAAACCGTGTAGCATGGCGTGTTTCGATTTGAAGAGTGGGGAATGCCAGTGAATTTATATGGTACAGAGGAATAACACCAGAGTCCTCAGGAATGGCAACGCATGAGGGGGAATCATGGGCGTAACAGTATACTCTGTTATGTCCATGGTACTGCTCATGTCTATAGGTGACGGTTACCACTTTCTATCAGGTGGACCGTCAGCTTGTTTGGCATTCTATGTCGTATAAAAAAAAACAATCACTGTATCAATTTAAAACATTAAGGTGTATCTTTGTTATATTATATCTTGGCTAATTTTGAACTGTTAAATCAGCCGTTAACTGTCCACTGCTGGACACAGCCTCCCCCATAAGATGGGTTTTGCCAGCAGTTGCCACGCTTGGCAGGTTTAACAACTGCAGTTTGACTTTTGGTGATGTTTTAAGAGGGATGTTGCTGCCCATCCCTACATCATAAGCTCTCCCTTAATCCTAAATCCCTCTTACAACAGCCACGGGAAAGGAAGAGATGGCTTATTTTATGGTGGACTTACACGGCGAATTTTGAATTGACATATCTGAAATTCCATGACAATTGGCTAAGTGTTTATGGCGTCAAGCTGACGCAAACAAATAAGCAAGCTCACTTTTACATTTATAATTTTAGGAAGAATGTCTGTTTGTCTGTTAGCTTTTCATGAAAAACATAAACCACAAAACTAATTAATAACAATAATACTAATTAATTCTAACTACATTTGGTATAGCGATACATTGGGCTTTAAAGAATTAACGGATAAAAGTTTGTATAGGGAATCAATCATTTTTCAAGTAAGAGATATAAAACTAGTTCTACGCGAACGAATACACGAACATTAGCAAGTCTGTAATATTTTATATATATGTATTATACATATATATTTATTATAATTAAACGTCTTTAATATTGAGTCGTACAAGACGAGGTGGCCGAGCGGTTAAGGTGATGGACTGCTAATCCATTGTGCTCTGCACGCGTGGGTTCGAATCCCATCTTCGTCGATTTACTTTTTAAATTATTTATATAATTAAAAACGTACCGACGAGACTGTGATCCGAAATCGAAAGCCGATTATAAGATGCCATTTCTTTAAATAAATGAATGGTTTATTTTCTCTTCAGAAAACGTAGTATAAAGTGACAACTTGAGGTACAATTAGATATGTAAGAGCAATTTTGTGAGAGACTGGTGCTTGCGTAAGGTTTCGAAGAACTTGTGTTACAAGCCACCAGATTTAATGTAATCCTTTTTAATTTGATAATTTTAAAGTTATTCCTTTATGGACTAAAATTAATTAAAATTTAAAACTAAATTTCTAATTATTTTCACTGAAGTCTATTATAAAATTAGTTCATATTGGTTCTTAAATAAAGATTTCGTTATGATTTCAAATTAAAATTATTAAAAAATGGGTGTTGCTGGAAGAGTACTCTATTATAGTTAAAAGCTCGCCTTTGTACATTTGTTTACGTCTGTCATATTCTTATAACTGGTGTGCACAATAAAGATTTAAATAAATAAATAAATAGGTAAAATTAGTAGGAATCTAGTTCTTTTGTTTGAAAATTGTCACAATATTGTACACCGCTCTACTCGCTGACATTGATGCTTCTTCCCACTTTGGTTGTTCCTCGAAGAGAACTCTATTAGAGTTATGCTCGCCTTTGTACATTTGTTTACGTCTGTCATATTCTTATAACTGGTGTGTACAATAAAGAATTAAATAAATAAATAAATAAAAATTAAAATTTTAGAAATAGATTTAGAGAAATAGCGCCACAGAATCGACCATACTGACTTCAAAAAAAGAGGATTTTATCCATGCTGCCTATTTTGTAAATCAAACTCCAATCAGCACTTGATCGCCATCTGTCGTCTATCAATATCATCGAGACGAATAAAATTAAACCAAAACCCGATAGATTTTTTATTTTACTGAACTAGGTGTTATCCTGCGGAAGTTAATATTACTGTTTGTTGAAGGTTGCAACCTTTTGTGTTTTATTTTAATAGCCATATATTTTTATTTTATCTGCCTGATCTTTTAATTCTTTTTTTTCATTGCAAATTGCCTATCAAATATACGGAAGCAATTTATTATTAAAAGACAATTATTTCATATTCAGCATGAAACTGGGAAATTCATCATACTCCCCAATACTGTTTATTTGATTCGCAGTTTTGGCGACGAATGGGTTAATATTAGGCTTCGAGTGGCGATCTAATAACTTGCCAGAAGATGCCTTGTTTTTTCTTTATATAATACAGGGGGCAAACGAGCATTCGGCTGATGGTAAGTGACTACCGCCGCCAATGATCACCCACAACACCAACTAAGTTTAGAAATGAATCAAGTGTCGCAATCGTATAATTAGTTTAACGCGGCTGTTTTAACCCTACTGAGGTTTTTTTATTGGTTGAAAATGGAATGGTAACCCCGCCTGCGCTATCGGTATACGCTGACGGGGCACCAGTGAGGGATGATAGGTGAGGATGAAGCAGGTCAGTTAGCCCATTGTGATGAATATAACTGGAATTTAGCACAATGGTTTCCAAAGGGGACCACGTGGAGGTCGACCTGACTGGCTGAATAGAATTGATAGTAAGCATTGCTAACAATCTCTTCCCCATCAAATCCTACTGAGGTTGAATAATAATATATGAACCAAATAGTATTAAACAAATTCGTAAGTTTATAAAAAGCGACTCACGGCTGGCGGATGAGAGCAGATCAGGTAAGTATGGCAACTTCTTGATGAGTATGATGCTGTCGAAGCAGGAAGGTTGGAGCAGCGCGGCGACGGCGTTGGCAGCAAGCACTGCCGCCATTATTGGTAGCAAGTGGGTCACCTGCGTGGAAGGAACAATTAATTTATCGTACTTCCTACTAACTTCCTATTATTGCCGTGTTGTCCCGGCATAGAATAGGCCAGCCCTTCCTTGCCCGTGGGTGTCGTAAGAGGCGGCTAAGGGAGGGCGAAGAAGATCGGCAGCACATCTCTCTTAAAAATCTTCAAAGCCTAATTGCGGTTGTCAATCCGCCTGTCAAGCGTGGCAAACCTCCCAAGGAGGCTTATGTTCAGCAGTGGACGGTTAAGGGCTGATATGATGGTCATGGACCACCTATCATCCTCACCATCACTGGTGCTCCGCTAGCGGAAGTTATTAGCGCATATATTTATTTATTTTATTTATTTATTTATTTATTTAAGGAACACCAACAGCATTATGCATTATAACATATAGGTATAACAAACATTAAATATAATACAGTATTAATGCACACGCCTGTTATAGGTATTCACAGCATTTACTTTAACATAGTTATAGATATATGTATGTACTAGTGCAGGTACACCCGCCCTCTACATTTGTTTCGGTCAGCGCTTACTATTCCATTTTATGGCGTTACCACCACCAGCCTACCTTACTACCAAGCCACCAGAGACTACCACGACCTCGTTCTATCTCATGAAATTGCTAGCAATCACGATTTTATCAATACATTCGTTTGTTGACTCAATGCTCAGTTTGTCCAGATGGCGCTGCGTGATATGTACAGGAATATTTACTGTATGATCATTCTGTTCTCTGCTCACCGCTCACCTGTCCGCACATCTCGCTGACGATGACGATGGTGGACACCGTGTGGGTGACGGCGCCCGTGAACGCGGCTGCGCCCACCACCGCGTACCCACCTGCGGACAAGTATGGGGGGGGGGGATTGTTAGTAATCTTTCACTGATGCCAGTGCCTGCCAGTGTACACTGGTAGCGCAGACGAAGTTACCATTTTATATTTATTCTGATAAAAAAATAGCTATGTATAAAGAAATTTTTGTTGCCAGCTTCAGATTAAGCTAACCGAAGATATTGGAAAGTAACTTTTCAAATTCGTACTTGCAGTAGCGATCTCGCTATCATGGTCATACTTAGATGTTACAGTGTACCCAAAACAGCGGAACTTAATCACCTGCATCAGCACATTTTCACCAAACATCCAAGTACCAAGGTGTCCATGTTGCTGTTCATGTTTCATAGGCGACGGTTACCACTTTCCATTAGATGGGTTGTCGACTTTTTTGCCAATATAAATCACATGGGAAAACCTTGAATTCTATATAAATAAATAGGTATAAAAAAAAAGGTTAATTCTAAACAATTTTGAACAGGGTTTTATAACTTTACTGTCCAGTTTGGAATATAATTTCAGATGAGAAGAGCGAACTAGAAATTTAACGTTTCTCTTTTCGAATAAAAGTAGAGTTTACAAACAAAAAGTGAATGAATACAATGATAATTACTATATCAAACCATTTGGCCACTGCGGTAATAGTAGGCCTCCTAATAGGATAGTAATTCTATCATGGGGAAATCAGTGTCCAACAGCGAGACCATTAATGGTTTATGGTTTATAAGAGACAGGAGTAATAATAAATGTTAGTGGTAATTGACAACACGGACTCACCGGGCAATATTTTCTGTATATGGCCTCCGTAGGCGACACCCAGCGGGCAGAAGTAGTGCATGACCTCCCCGGTAAAGCGGCCCAGGGAGGCGCCCATCTTGAATGCCGGCACGAAGATGCCCGCCGGCACGGGGAGCGTGCACGACACCATGCTCAGGAAGTACTGGCGACAGAGTGTAAATGTAATGTAAATTGGACTCTTCTTTCCGCGCTAAGCCTGTCATTTGGGCCATCGTGCGTATGAGTCGTAGCTAGTACAGCCAATCCAGCACCGCCCAGAAGTACAAAGCTGCCTGGGATCTTCACGGTCCTCACGCAGCGACCTCATTGTTTCGAGGATTTGAGGACACGTTGAGGGACCACAGCTTCACATATCAGGATATACGTGAACAGCCGACAGTGTTTTATATAAGCAATATATTGGGATAGATATAACAATTCGTCCCTTCGTCGTCTGTCCCAATTGTGTTTCTACCGTAAAGCAGTTGTTTGCATGGCTGTGTTACGGTTTGACGGGTGGGATATGGCAGGAATTTATACGGTACAGAGGAATAACACCCGAGTCCTCAGGAATGGCAACGCATGGGGGGTATCATGGGCGAAACAGTATACTCTGTTATGTCCATGGTACTGCTCATGTGTATAGGCGACGGTAACCACTTTCCATCAGGTGGGCCGTCAGCTTGTTTGCCGTTTTAAGTTGTATAAAAAAATATACGCTGGCGGGGCATACTTGTAAGGGATGATAGGTGAGGATAAAAATCGGCCAGTTAGCTTATTGTGACGAATTTATCAAGTATTAACCAAAATGGTTTCTAGGGTACGTACCGGTTGACCTGATATACCCTATATTGCTAGCAATGGGATCGTCAGTCCCCGCTATTAACAATATCTTACCTTGAGGACAACGGTTGTTGTCTTTCTATCAGGTGGACCATCAGCTCGTTTATCCACCAAATACATATACATAAACTTCAATCAACTTTCAAATTAAAAGAAAATAAAAAAGTTGGCAGTAATAACCTTTATGTCCAAGATACATACATACATACATACATACATATCTGTCACGCCTGTCTCCCATTAGGGTAGGCAGAAACAATGGAACGCCAAATGCTTCGATTCAAACAAACCTCTTTCGCTTCTTCCACATTCATCAATCTTTTCATACACGCTCGCCGGTTACGGGTATTTTTAATACTTTTATTCATTTTTATATGTCCAAGATAGAGTAATTAATATAATATTTACAAAAATAAATCGACGAAGATGGGATTCGAACCCACGCGTGCAGAGCACAATGGATTAGCAGTCCATCACCTTAACCGCTCGGCCACCTCGTCTTGTGCGACACATATCCAATTTAATTTATAGAAACAAAATTTATATTAAGATAATAAAATATTGGAAATCGATAAATCTAAAGTAAATAACAGACTTTATAGCAACCAGCAATAAGGTACATTTATATTTGCATCGCGTAATACTTTTTTACTAGACGATTCTCTTAAATGGACGAAACTGGAACGGTAATACCGATTATACTATTGGTTTACATTGGCAAGTTTCTACTGAAAGTATATTTTTTTGTAATGGATGATAATGGAATGGTAACCCCGCCTGCGCTATTGGTATACACCGGCGGGGCACCAGTGAGCGATGATAGGTGAGGATGAAAGCAGGTCAGTTAGCCCATTGTGACGAATTGCACTAGAATTAACCACGACGGTTTCCAGGGGGAACCACGTGGAGTCGACCTGATAGGGTATATCTTTTTTTGTAATGGGTGAAAATGGTATGGTAACCCCGCCTGCGCTAACGGGATACGCTGGTGGAGCACCAGTGAAGGGTGATAGATGAGAATGAAAACAGGCCAATTAGCCCATCATGATGAAATACACGATGGTTTCCAGACGAGACCATGGGGAGATCGAGCAGTCGGGATATATTGTTTTTAATGGATGATAATGCAACGATATCCCCGCCTACACTATCGGTATACACTAGTGGAGCACCAGTGAGAGATGATAGGTGAGAATGAAAGCAGGTAAGTTAGCTCACAAGAATTAATCACGAAGGTTTTCAGGGGGACCTGATAGGGTAAATTACTAGCGATAGAGCTGTTAGATCCCCATTACTAAACTAGTTTTGTCACGATTCAAATCTGGGTTATATGTGAAACGAAATCTTAGATAGATAGATAGTTTATTTGCATTACTTACAGCACACAAATTATAACAGTTACAGATATATATAAAAAGCGAGATAACATAAATGATTATAAAAAAAAAACATAAAGCCAAGTAAAATTTTTAGTTTTATGCGTGGACCATAACAATTTAAAATGGTCACAACTGAGTGTATTGCTTGGCCCTCAAAAGAGCAAAGCACTGATATTCTGTTGCAACCAAAGGGAATAATGTAACAACAAAATAATACTACCAGATTATCTATATATACAGTAAACAGACAGAACAATCCGCTTATACAACGGATTGTGCTCAGAGGAATTATTCAATATGATGCCTACGGCCACTTTCTATCATTGTACGGCTCGCCATCGACAGGTAGTTCACCCTCATACCTTACAGCCTGAATGGTCGCGTACTGCGCGGTTTCAGAGATGTTTTCTCCCACGAACACTCAGGTTATGTAATGAGCTCCCTGCCGAGGTTTTCCCAAGACTACAGCATGGGGTTCTTCAAAAGGGGGGTAAAGAGTTTCTTCAGGGTCGGCAACGAGCGCGTAATACCTCTGGTATTGCAGGCGTTTATAGGCTACGGTAACCGCTTACCATCAGGTGGGCCGTATGCTTGTTTGCCACCTCAGTGGTATAAAAAAAAACAGACATACAGTAAACAGATATGGCAGTTTATCTAGCAGACATATAGAACATAGAGGTAATTTGCTAAAATATCTGACTTTTGCCTATCAATTAAGAATTTTTTTAAAATTAATTTTGAAGCTAGACTTAAATTATACATCTCATAATATCAATTGTCGTTACCTAAGGTTCCCTAAGGTTGGTTACTGCTTTTAAAGTGAGTCTTATACTGGTGCGTTGTAGCTCTGTTCCTTCAGTTGTCTCTCATAATATCCTTGAGATGTAAAGAAGCGGGAATCAATCAGAGGGAGACTTAGTACAAAAGTCGATTGCTTGGGTACCTCTGTCCCATTCATGTTTTAACCGTAAAGCAGTTGTGTTTGCATGGCTGTGTTTCGGTTTGAAGGGTGGGATATGGCGTGAATTTATTGGGTACAGAGGAATAACATCTGAGTCCTCAGGAATGGCAACGCATGGGGGGTATCATGTTACTGCTCATGTCTATAGGCGACGGTTAGGCCATTCTAAGTTATATATATATATATATATATATATATATATATATATATATATATATATATACATACACCCCCTACACGAAATCTACTTGTGTATTACAATCATACTGCGTGCCAATATAATATGGTACTGCCGTGCGGTTTTGGCAGGGAATAGGCCACCTCGTTTTTTCCTCATCGGTGTCGTAAGAGGCAACAAAGGGATATTAATTGTCGAGGGATGAATAATAGTGTCCCTCTTAAAACATTAATAAAGCTTAACTGCGGTTGCTGATCCGCCAGTTAAGTAAGGCAATACCCTCAATACGAGAAGGCCCATGTTCAGCAGTGGACAGAAGACAGAAATTCTAAGGAACTCATAAAATTCTTCGAATAACTTTCCACAACGCGCAAAGGTATTCGAAGAATTTAATTATTTAGTTTCAATCTACAATAATCGGTACAAAACGTATCGACGAAGATGGGATTCGAACCCACGCGTGCAATGCACATTGGATTAGCAGTCCATCACCTTAACCGCTCGGTCACCTCGTCTTGTACGACACAGTATTAATTAGTTAAGCCAATTAAATATAATATATATATATATATATATATGTATAATACATATATAAACATATTATTACAGATGTATTAACATAATAAAATTTTATTACATCTGTAATAATCATTGGCCAATCCGCTTGCCAAGGAAGGTAACTACTGACTTACCCCCCCCCCCCCCCCCCCATGGGGAGGCCTATCAGCAGTATACAGTTAACAAATAATACAGCAACTCTGCCAAAATTACGCGGTGACCGCGCGCAGTTTTCTAAAACCATGGTGAATTTGTCACGATGCTGACCTGCCTTCATCCACAACTATCATCCCTTACTGGTGCCCCGCCAGTGTATACCGATAAGTCAGGTGGATATTTAATTTTCACCTCTTTAAAAAAAACGATAAGTGGAAGGTAGTATCCGTACAATACTGTTACTACTACTACCAGAGGGAGACTTTGTACAAAAGTCGATTGTTTGGGTCCCATTAGTGTTTCAACCATGAAGCAGTTGTGTTTGCATGGCTGTATTTTGGTTTGAAGGGTAGAATGAATATAGATATCCGACTGGTATTGGCGATATCGTTATGGGTGGCCATCAACATCCAGAAGAACTCAATATATAGATACCGGATATTATATCTCTACAAAAAGATCGTCCTTTCTTTAACTTTACCAGAGGGAGAATTTGTACAAAAATCGATTGCTTGGGTACCTCTGTCCCATTCGTGTTTCAACCGTGAAGCAGCTGTGTTTGCATGGCTGTGTTTCGGTTTGAAGGGTGGGATATGGCGTGAATTTACTAGGTACAGAAGAATAACACCTGAGTCCTCGGGAATGGCAACGCATGGGGGGTATCATGGGCGAAACAGTATACTCTGTTATGTCCATGGTACTGCTCATGTCTATAGGCGACGGTTACCACTTTCCATCAGGTGGCTCGTCAGCTTGTTTGCCATTCTAAGTTGTATAAAAAAAAAAAAAAAAACTACTGTACTGTACTGTGCTAATAGTACGGATTACTGTTAGTATTTATAGTTGAGTAACACCAAGAGAAAAACTAGTATACAGTAAGTAGTTAACTAAAGCAGAAGTAAACTTAAGTGTCTTATTTATACAAGTGTATAATTTAATTGTTAATATAATTTAATTTTATACATATATTGGTAATTAATGTATAAACAGTCTAAGAATTAAATGGCCCATTTACATTATAATAACACTCGTTTTACTAGAGGGAGACTTTGTAAAGAATTCGTCTGCATGGTTCTGTCCCATACATGTTTCTGCGGTGTAACAGCTGTGCATGACTATGTTTCGGTTTGAAGGTTTTTTTAATGTGTGATAATGGAATGGTAACCCCGTCTGCGCTATCGATATATGCTGGCGGGGCATCATTGAGGGATTATAGGTGACGATGAAAGCAGGCCAGTTAGCCCATCGTCACGAATTGCACTAGAATTAACCACAGTGGTTTCCAGGGGAAACCGCGTGGCGGTCGACCTGATATATACTGTATTGCTAGTAATTGGGCAACTAGACCCCATTTACTAACAATCCCTGGTGGGTTTTATAGGAGACAAATCTAGGTGTAGCAGGAATAACGAAAAGGATATAAGGACTCACCGTCTTGTCGTGGGCTATCATATGATGTCATTATATCCTTTTCATTATCTCTGCCACACCTAGATTTGTCTCCTATAAAAACCACCATTTGATGGTACCTATCGATCCGGATTTCAAAAAACTAGCTTGAACTAGCATTTCATCATCTTAATATTACACGACATCCGGCTCGAAGGACCATCAAATGGTGGTTTTTATAGGAGAAAAATCTAGGTGTGGCTGGAATAACTGGAAAGGGATATAATGACCATCATATGATAGCCCACGACAAGACGGTGAGTCCTTATATCCTTTTCGTATTCCTGCCACACCTAGATTTGTCTCCTATAAAAACCCACTATTTGATGAATGAAGGTGATTGGATAGGATAGGATCAAGGGAAATGAACTTAGCACTAGGTACCGATTATTATTATTATTATTGAACTAGCATATAAATCATTATTAATAAGAATAAATTTATAATAATATTATTACGAAAAATATATAAAATTAAAGAAACGCGCGAACAAATCCCTCTCCCCTCCCCCGGTTTGAATGGTGGGAAAATGCCAAGCAAGTTTCAGGATACGGATGTATAACACCTTAATTCTCTGAATTGCATTGCATAAGGGATAATATGGGCATCACAGTGTATTCTTTGATGACGCTTTAAGGAGGCGGTTACCATTTTTTTTTCCATCAATATATCCTTAAGTACTTAAGTTACTTAGTATCATATGAAGGGTAGTGTTTTAGTAATTAATGATACTACTATGTTCTCGTAGGTTTTAAAATCAAAGAAAAAATAAAGCACTTGAACGGTTATAGTAAGGTGATTCGGGCAAACGATATACTGGCTACATCCAGTGGCATTACTCGATTATTAAAAAGGGAAACGGTTTCCAAATCCATGACATGTAGACAGGTATCACACACTACGTACTTTTTTTTTTAATGGTTGATAATGGAATGGTAACCCCGCCTGCGCTATCGGGATACGCTGGCGGAGCACCAGTGAAGAATAATAGGTGAGGATGAAGTAGGTCAGTTGGCCCATCGTGACGAATTCAACAAGAATTGTTCACGATGGTTTCCAGGGGGAACCACGTGAACCCCACTACGTACTTATTTAACCTTTCTTTGCATGATTTTTTTATATCGGTGAAATAAATCAAGGTGATATAATTTATGTTCAATTAAAGGAAAAATGGTTAAAAAAAATAAATTTGACAGCTATGTTTTCTTTTCTGCAATGGACATTAAAAAGGTATCCAGACACGATCAACTTAAAGTGAACTTGTCCTTTTATATAATTTTTGGGCATTCAATGTTATGATGGAAATTTCCACCATTATGCAATAAAGGGTCAAGGTCTTGGATTCGATTCTTGGTAAAACTAATTTAAGAAACAAGTTATTTCTAAATAGGCTCCGGTTTTGGTGTTTTGGTTTGATCTTCGGATGTTCGTTTCCTGGTTTCTCAAAACATAGTGTTTTTATTTTATAATACTCAGAATGCTAAACAAAGAGCTTGTTTAGCATTAAATTAGTAACTGTTGGAGTCGTCAATGGACATGAACAGCACCACGCACATCACAGAATGCACTGTGGAGACCATGGGACCTTTCAGACGTTAGCATTCCTGAGGCCTATGATAAGGTAAACTGGCTTGACGATCAGGCAAATTGATGCTATTGTGAGACAAGTGTCATTTTAAAATTATCATTAAATGATAATTAGCTTTGTTAGGAATACAATATTCGCCATATATGCACAAGACGAGGTGACCGAGCGGTTAAGGTGATGGACTGTTAATCCATTGTGCTTTGCATGCGTGGGTTCGAATCCCATCTTCGTCGTTATGTTTTTGTAAATATTAATTTATAACATATTTAATTTAAAGATTAATATTTAACTATGTTTTATCAAGGGAAAGGGATTTTTAATAATTGGGTTCTAACAGCCTCATTGCTAGCAATATAACCCTGTCAGATCGATTTCGACGCAGTTCGCAGCAGCAAAACTATTTTGGTTAATTCTTGTAGAATTTGCCACAAGGGGCCAACTGACCTGCTTCCATCCTCACCTGTCATCTCTCACTGGTGCCCCGCCAGTATATACCGACAATGTAAGCAGGATTAGCATTACACTTAATTTTATTATTATTATTTCAGCCATTAACTCTTCACTGCTGAATATAAGACTTCTCCATAAAGGAGGTTTTGACAGTAGTCGCCACACTTGGCAGGCGGATTGGCAACTGCAGTTAAGCTTTTAGAGATGTTTTAAGAGGGACGCCGCTGCATATCTATCAAGCATAAGTTCCCTTGGTCGCCTCTTGCGACACCCACGGAGAAAAAGTAGCCCGTTCTAAGCCGAGCTTATTATAGCAGAGTTTTCTTAAAACATCACCAGACTCTAACTACGGAAGCCAACCCGTATGCCAAGTGTGGCGACTACTGTCAAAACCTCCCTTATGGGGGAGGTCTATGTTCAGCAGTGGACAGTTTTTTTTATACCACTGAGGTGGCAAACAAGCATACGGCCCACCTGATGGTAAGTGGTTACCGTAGCCTATGAACACCTGCAATAAACCACCTACAGTTAACATAAGGAGGCTAATACTTACAATGGAGAAGAAGTATATGATGAGGCATCCGAAGTAGTTGACCTCGGGCGTCTCCCAGTGCGACACGATGGCCGCCTGCTGCGCCGTCAGCTCGTCGCCCCACGTGAAGTTCGCGAACAGTGACAGCACCTGCCGTCATCATTAGTGTGAGACTTTTTTAATGGGTGAAGATGGAATGGTAACCTACCTAGAATGGTAACCTAAATGGTAATACGCTAGTGGGGCACTAGTGAAGGGTGATAGATGAGGATGAAGGCAGGTCAAGGTCAGTTGACCCATAGTGACCTATTGAACAAGAATTAACCACTGTAGTTTCCAGGGGAACCGCATGGAGGTCGACCTGGTGTATTTCCAGCAATGGGCCTATTAAACCTTATTATTACCAATCCCTTTCCCCCTGTGTGCGACGTTGTACAAGATGTCAGCATAGGTACCTCTGTGTTTATGGCGTGAGGTAACTGTGCGTGGCTGTGTTTAGGCTTGAAGTATGGGAGGATATGGCATAAAATATAGAGACAAAAACTTAGTCCTCAAAAATAGAAATAATAGTAATCCTTTCCATTTCGAGTTTAGTACTCTTTTAAAGTTAAACTCACCTTTGCACATTTGCTTACTTCTATCATATTTTTATGTTTATATATGTCAAATACATGGTAGTGGGGGAAAGGAATTGTTAGTATTGGGGTCTACCAGTCCCATTGCTAGCGACATAGGGTATGTTGCTAGCAATGGGACTGGTAGACCCCATTGCTAGCAATATACCCAACCAGGTCGACCTCCACGCGGTTCCCCCTGGAAACAATCGTGGTTAATTCTTATAAAATTTGTCACGATGGGCTAACTGACCTGTTTTCATCGTCACCTCACTGGTGTCCCGCCAGCGCATACCGATAGCGCAAACGGGGTTACCATTCCATTATCATCCACAAGAAAAATACATGGTAGTGTGCGTAATGTCTTTTTTTTTTTCATTGATATTTCTTGCTTCATCTAAAGGCATGAAAACTTTGTCTCAGTACATGTTAGTAATTTTTAGTAATAATAATACATGTATAACAAATTTAATAATGACTGGTTGAACCGTTAAGGTAAAGCTAAGAGTTTACAAGCAAACCAACTCACTTTCACGTTTATAATAATAGTAAGGATTCACGCAGGCAAAGCCGGGGGAAACAGGTAATAAGAAATAGTATAGAGAACACATCGGTTACCTGCCCCTGGTTGCCAAGGTCCGCAGCCATGTACTTGCCGATGCCGGGCGGGAATAGGATGGACATCACCGCCAGCGTCATAAACCCAGGGTAGATGAACCGGCTGTAAAACGTGATTAATTTTATTATTGTAAACTTCAATAGAATGCCTCCAGCCACTTTTGCAACATCACATCTTTCGCCATCAACAGAGAATAAATCCTCAAACCTTAGAACCGCCTGTGCTATTGGTATACGCTGGCACGGCACCAGTGATGGATGACAGGTGAGGATGAAAGCAGGTCAGTTAGCGTATCGTGATGAATTCCACAAGAATTAACCATGCTAGTTTGGGGGGCAAGGGATTGTTGGTAATGGAGACTAAGAATCCCATTGCTAGCAATATACCCAACCAGGTCGACCTCCTCGCGGTTTCCCCTGGAAACTGTCATGGTTAATTCCTGATGAATTTATCATGATGGGCTAATTGGCCTGTTTTCATTCTCATCTATCACCTTTCACTGGTGCTCCGCCAGCGTATCACGTTAGCGCAGGCGGGGTTACCATTCAATTTTCATCCAATAAAAAAAAACCACGCTAATTTCCAGGGGAAACCGCGTGAAGGTCGACCTGATAGGGTATATTGCTAGTAATGGTGCTGGTAAATCCCATTATTAACAATCCCATTCCCCCCGTTTATCTTATTGAGGGGATGAGAGGATAAAGGATTGTTAATAATGGGATATAACTGCCTCATTACTAATCAGACCGAGCTTCGGAAGGTGTCTCTTGAAAACCACAGTGGCTAATTGATTATCCGTCACACTATTGTGTGAGAAGAGGACGGAAACAGTTCCTTATACTATTAGAGAGGGACAGCAACACGATTACTGACTTCTTCTGCAGGAAGTTGCTGAGCGTCTTGGTGTTCCTCATGAAGAGCACGTACTGCCGGTGGATCCACACCCAGAGCGCGGCCATGAAGCCGCACACTATACTGTAAACATTTAACAACACCATTGTAATATTTTTAACAAAATATTTTACTGCACTTACTGTTATCCTGCGGAAGTCCATATCACTGGTTATTTGGTAAGATTTATTTTATTTAATTCTTCTACCATTACTATGTGTGCGACTGCCAACACTCGAAAATTGACCATCACTAACTTTTTTTTATGCAATTTAGAATGGCAAACAAGTTGACGGCCCACCTGATAGAAAGTGGTAACTGTCGCCCATAGACATGAGCGGTACCATGGACATAACAGAGTATACTGTTTCGCCCATGATACCCCCCATGCGTTGCCATTCCTGAGGACTCAGGTGTTATTCTTCTGTACCCAGTAAATTTACTGCCATATCCCACCCTTTAAACTGAACCTTTATAGCCATGCAAACACAACTGCTTCACGGTAGAAACACGAATGAAACAGAGGTGCCCAAGCAAACGACTTTTGTACGGGGGAAAGGGATTGTTAGTAATGGAGACTGAGAATCCCATTGCTAGCAATATACCCAACCAGGTCGACCTCCTCGCGGTTCTCCCTGGAAACTATCATAGTTAATTCCTGATGAATTCATCATGATGGGCTAACTGGCCTGTTTTCATTCTCATCTATCACCCTTCACTGGTGCTCCGCCAGCGTATCCCGTTAGCGCAGGTGGGGTTACCATACTATGTTCACCCATAAAAAAAAACTATTTTTGTACAAAGTCTCCCTCTGGTTATATTAATATTAGCTGGATATCCATGGTACTGTTCATGTTTATAGGAGACGATTACCATAAACAGTATGGGACAGGGTAACTGTTACATGCTTTGCTCCCTGTGAAGTCTGGTCGTGGCCACTCACCCTAGTAGTACGAAGACGGCGAACTCCTGCGGGTCGAAGGGGAAATCCTGCGGGAGGCTGGTGGGGAACAGAGGCTTCACAGTTGGCGTTGCGCCTGACCATACCGATAGTAAGCGGAACATCTGCGCAAAACACACACACACAATTTTTATGAGTAATTTTTCATATTACAATAAGCAGTCTATTAGTAAAAACTGTGTAAAAAAGGTGACATGGTTTTTTTTATGTTGTGTGTTTTGTATTTGTGTACTTTGACGTACGTATACTTACGATAGCACTGCAGCACGCCGCGAAGAAGCCGCGCCAGTAATTCCTCACGGCGAAGTATGTGGTTGTTACTTCGATGGAGAACAACACGCCTGGAATATGTTGTATGGCAATTAGTAGTGTGGCGCGGAGTAACACAGCTACTCATGTCAGGAGGCGCCCTCTGGGCGAGAGATACGCAGAAGGGTTTCCAATCCGCTTGCCAAGCGTGACAGCTACTGGCAAAGCCCCCAAGGAGGAAACTTACTTTCAGCAGTTAGGGGGCAGTTAAAGGCTGATATGGTGATAGTAACGACGACAGTAAATATTATAATTGTAAATAAAGCAAATATGAATAATAAAAGTGTTTCATAATTATTACATTACTTTTTTTTATTAATATCTAAGTAATAATACAAATATGAATAAAAAAAATTCTACAAGTTCTTTTAAGCAAATTAGAATGGCAAACAAGCTGACGGCCCACCTGTAGACATGAGCAGTAACATGGACATAACAGAGGATACTGTTTCGCCCATGATACCCCCAAGCCATTCCTGCTTCGATCGTTGCCATTCCTGAGGACTCAGGTGTTATTCCTCTGTAGCCTGTAAATTCACTGCCATATCCCATCCTTCAAACCGAAACACAGCCATGCAAACACAACTGCTTCATGGTAGAAACACGAATGGGACAGCGGTGTCCAAGCAAACGACTTTTGTATAAAATCTATCTCTGCTTAAGTTAAAATAATGATCACATTCATCAGTTACATGTGACTTTTTTATACCATAAGGATGGCAAACAAGCATACAGTCCGTTTGATAGTAAACAGTCACTGTAGTAACACTAGGAGTATCACGTGCGTGTTGCCGATCTTGAAGAACCCCATGCTGTAGTCTCTAGGGAAAACCTCGGCAGGGAGCTCATTTCACAGCCTGAGTGTTCGTGGGGGAAAATTTCTCTGATAATCCACTGTGTCTATTTAGGCTTAGCCTGTGAGGATGAATTCCCTGTTCATGGCGGGCGGTGCGATGATAAAAGGCTGCGAAAAATTATATGGGCAAGATGGGAGGGAATAACATCTGAGTCCTCAGGAGTGGCAACGCATGGGGGTATCATGGGCGAAACAGTATACTCTGTTATGTCCATGTTACTGCTCATGTCTATAGGCGACGGTTACCACCTTCCATCAGGTGGGCAGTCAGCTTGTTTGCCATTCTACGTTGTATAACAAAAAAGCAAAACAAATGCGGAAATGACTGCGAATAGAGAAGAAAGAACGAGAAACGCCGACCCCGGATAAAACAATTGGGACAAGAGTAGATGTAATAGTAGTGTAGATAGTAGATGATAACGATCTGTTTGCACTTGCCTCCGACAGGAGCCGCGAAGCACGACGCTACACCGACGGCGCAGGCGGCGGCCAGCATCTCACTGGTGCGGGACTCGTTCGTGTAGATACCTTGGAAAGTGGTCACCAACTTCGACAGCAAAGCGGCCACCATGGACGCTATGTGTACAGACGGGCCCTGTAATATTATAATATGTATTATTACTAGGGGCAGATCGAGAGACACAGAGTCGTCTTTATGAGCACTTCGTATTTCACTTGTTTTTACTGTATTTGTTTTTTGATGGGTGAAAATGGCTAACGGGATACGCTGGCGGAGCACCAGTGAAGCATGACATGAAATTTTGTTCATGTTTCTGCCGTAAAGCACGACTGTTTTACGGCAGAAACATAAACAAAATTTCTTTTCTTTAGGCACATTAGTACCCAAGCAAACGACCTTTGTACAGCTTCCCTCTGGTAAAAAAAAAATTCTTGTTCATAAATAATAGTTCTGTCTCGTCTATTAACTCTGCAGCTAAGTAGCTTCATGTTATGTTCCTATTTCAATGATCAGATATGAAGGTAACATTACTGGGGACTTCCAATCCTTGTGACATGATCATGTTGAGTTTCAGTTAATATTCTTCTGTTACACAGTTTGGCAATGTAAGACTGATCTAGTGCCACTCAAGGCATGCACAATACACCAAATATAGAGCGGCCGTTCTAGGTTAAATATGCTTGTTAGTAGCGTAGATAGACTGGGACGACCGCTCCACTGATAGCGTCCGCCACTCACCTCTTTTCCTAATGGCAGCCCTGAACCAAGCGTAGCTGTCAATCCTACTATTTTCGATATGAGCGCTCTGAACGTGAGGTATTCTTTTAGATGTACCCCCCTTAATATCGTCTTCATTTCTGGAATGCCCGACCCTGAAATTTAATATATGAAAATGTCATTAAATAAAAAAAAATCCTACACAGGCATTATATTTTACTTATCAACATTTGCAAGGATTGTTAGTAACGAGGACTCACGGACTCATAGCCTACTATATACCCTGTTAAGTTGACCTTCAAGCGATTGGGCGTTGGAAATCTAAAATATGAAATCCTGTTGAATTCGTCCCGATAGGTAAAATTAAATATAAGTGAAATAACTTCCATTTTACTCGCCACTTCTCAGTGGTGGTAAACGCTGGCGGGGCATCATTGAGGAATGATAATTAAGGAAGTAAAGGCAGATCAGTTAGGTTATCGTTATAAATACATCTGGAATTTAGCACGATGGTTTCCATGGGGGACCGTGGGCAAGTCGAACTATCAGTCCACATTACTAATAATCCCACCCTCCTCCACCACATGTGGATCAACGTTCCTTTTTATCACAAGAGAAGCTATAACACATAAAGGCAACACCATTCAGATCAATACCATCGAAAATGCAAAAAACATAGTGTCTTCGTACAAATGTTTTGGACTTATTATATTACAAGTGACATTCAAATATATTATTCATATTTCTATATATTATTAACGTTTATACTCTCAGAATCTCACTCACCTATGCTCTGTGCAGCGACGATGTGCACGAAGCCAGCGGCGAACAGTATGAGGCAGATGGGCAGCGACACCCACGCCACATACTGGCTGAACGTCGATGTCGCTACGTCCTTGTACATCCACATGCGAGCTGGAAGGTAAAAAAATGACTATTTAAAAATGGTTAAATTTAAATTTACTTGAATAAAAATATTTCTTTTTCCCTAGCTTAAGGCTAGATGAACATATCAATTAAAGTCGTATACAGCTTTTACAGATAAATGTTAATTTATACTAAGGTAACAATCATACAATTAGTGAAGACTTAAACATTAATACATACATACATATCTGTCACGCCTGTCTCCCATTAGGGTAGGCAGAAACAATGGAACGCCAAATGCTTCGATTCAAACAAACCTCTTTCGCGTCCTCCACATTCATCAATCTTTTCATACACGCTCGCCGGTTACGGGTACTTTTAATTTGGCCCATCTTCAGCACGTCGCCTATTCGGTCGACATACGTCCGTTTAGGGCGGCCCCTACCGACATCGCCATTCATTCTTGCTCGAAAAATCTCTTTCGTAATTCTTCTTTCACCAATCCTTTCCAAATGTACAATCTATATTATTAGTAAGCTTATTAATCTATTTGCAAAAAGTACTTTACCATATTTTATTTCGTATGTAGTTTTATCATTCATTCACATTCTTTTTGTATTATATATTGACCTATTCTATTTCACGGTGAAAGGTGAGGTGAGAAGTGATATTTTCACCTCTGTGAATGTTGAGTACAACTATAATTGGACTGCAAACTTATAATGCTATTGTTGTATTATATTGGTAAAAGATTTATTTGTAATCTGTTGGTGTACCTCAGAAATAAATAATTAAATAAATGAGTAAGGATATATATTTTACATTATTACATGTATCATATCTCTATATTTTAGAAATAATAGAATTTGCATCGTGCGTCCAATCAAACTGTTTATAATTACTTCTCTCCATCCAAAGGTTGCCTGGAAGAGATCGCTCTTAGCGATAAAGTCGCCCATTGTTTTCTCATTGTGATTATTTATTGTAATTGTTTATATTTATAATAAGTTTACTATTGTAATCTTTTGAAGGAAACAATAAAGAGTATCTGTCTATCTATCTATCATTTTAGATATTAATACCTTTATACCAGTTCATTGTCCCATGTGACATTTTGCATGACCCACGATGCAGTAAGTGTAAAAAAAATCTATTCAGACATATTAATTACCTGTCACTGTCCTTCGAGGCGTGAAACAAAAACAAATGCACTCATTACAACCTAGATGTTAGGTTTCGGCTGAAGTAATAGCATGGAAAAGTGGCAAATAACTTTTTTTACGCAATGTGGAAAGGTAAACAAGCTAAAACTAAAAAGGTGGCTAACAGAAAAATGTTTATACTCAGTTAATGAATATTTTAATCATTTTAAAGCTTAAATATGTGACTCGATTAATTGATTGTAATTCGTAATCTATATAATTTATTATTAATATGTAAATATGTTGACATCTATATAATGTGACGTATATAAGTAAAATAGTAGTAGCATAGCATAGTAGCACGATTCAATAAATTGTGTACGCCAGACTCTGGTGAAAAGTGTGAACCATATTTGAATATTATGTACCATCCTTTATACCACTTTTCAAACAAAATAAAGGTATTTGTATTTCGTATTTGTATTTGTAAGCTGGCGGTGATGCTCATCTGATGGAAAGTGGTAACTGTCGCCTATCTATCTAACACCATCATATCTACGTTACTCCTCATGCATTACCATTGCTGAGGACTAAGAGCTATCTTCCTTTCCTGTGGGTGTCGTAAGAGTAACTAAATGGTCGAGGATTGGGCAACAGCGTCCCTTTTAAAATATTACCAAAATCTAACTGCGGTTACCAAGCCGTCTGCTAAGCGTGGCAATTATTGGCAAAACCTACCCAGGCCAACTAACCTATTTGCATCATCACCTACACGTATCACTCCTGACTGGTGCAGCGCCAGCGTATACCATTAGCACAGACGAGGTTACCATTCCGTTATCATCCATAATAAAAATATTAAAGATATTTGATAAATCACTCACCATTATTACAGATGCCTATCCCCCGGTCCATGGCGTAATTGATGCACGCCATGATGATGCCCAGCAATGCCAGGAAGATCCAGTCCTCGCCGAGGCGTGCGAATGTATGCCGCCAGACATACCCTGTCACAAACTTCACATCATTTTTCATTTACTATCATCTATTTTATACCAAAAAGGTAATCAATTACTTAGTATGTATACGCAATAGATGGCGTTAATTCAAAATTTTAATAGTTTTAGTTGGTATATCGTTAAAAAAATGTATAATAATAGTATTCAAGGTCTTTAGAGAGAAAAAAAATTAAACACGCAATTTAAAACTCAATTTAAAAAGTCACGTAAAAAAATCCCGCCAATAAAGCAAATGACAATTGATTCTATATTTTTAAATATTTTTTTTTTTTTATTATGATATTGCCACTGTAGTGTAACTGGCCAGTTTCAAATGTATTTATGATTCTAATATTAAATATCAATATTGTGTACCGCAGAAACACTGATTAAAGTTCATTGACACTGTAGTATTTTTAACTATCGAATGCGATTTGCTTCAATTAATATGGTCTCATATTTTGATAAGTGATATAAGACTCTTTATTTGGCATAGCACACTGATGTCAAACCAATAACAGATTTTTAATTACTTCTGTAAAATGATAGTAAAAAAAAATATTGAGTATGAAATAGCAAATAAGCTGACCGCTTACTTGATCGAAAGCGGTAACCGCTGATTATAGGCATGAAAAGACCAGATAATTCACAGTAATGCCAATGGTACTCGTCAAGTGTCGCCATTCCTGAATATTGTAACATATTCAAACCAAAACAAAATTGCTTACATGCAGAATCACAAGTGGGATAGAAGAACCTCGCAGATGACTTGTATAAAGTCTCCGTCTAGTATTTTACTACTGCCGAGCAGCTGTTCCTCAGAGGAAAGGAGATCAAAATTTTATCTTGTAATTTTTAAGATTTTATTAAGTATTCTATTGTAATATTTTAGAGAGAGTATTTTTAAGAGAGTATTTTCTTGGCATTCTGATTCTAAAATTCACCTAGAACTTTGAAAAATTTTCCCCTGGGACGATGTTTCCCCGTCGCCTCTAACTCCTTCTGCCGAAGTTTGTCGTCTTTCCGTCTTTTCTTTCTCAGTCTCCGTAACCTTCTAGCTTCTTCTCTGGCCGCTTCACTGAGGTCGCGTTGGTAGCGACCATACATCTGAAAACGATAAGCTTAATTGTTGATATTTATCTATCTTCACACAGAGTTTTTTGGGGAGTAGGCAGAGAAAACTAAAATAAAAAAAAAAAAAACTAACTACTAAAGCTTACCAAAAATGCCTCTATCGTTATATATACTGCATGGCCGTAGCTAGCTTCTGACCTACCAAAAAGTTCTTTTGTCCTATCTTAAACTTACCCAAGTTTAAGGTAGGGCAAAAGAACTTTTCGGTACTAGCTACAGCCCGGATGTAGTGTTAATATTTATTATCAAGCGACATCCAAATCTTTGCAATGTTCTCACGCAGAGTATGTTTCCCGGTTCATTTCCGATAACATTAGGTCTTTCTAGGACAGAGTGAGTAAGCATTATTTGAGTTTGCTTGGAAACCCTCAACTCAGGTGACATTATGGTCGAATGTACATACATATAGGTACATTAATATATAGGCATTTATAATTATTTTCCTTAATCTGTTTAATTACTATTTCTAACTTACTGTATTTGCACACCTATTGTTTAACAATTAAGTTTGATACCCTAATAAAATTTGTTTTAAATATACTGTTTTCAGATATAGGATCATTTTATTATAATTATATAATTGTGTTTGTTGTATTTATTGCTTATGTTCTTCTATTACTTAGGTATGTTTTTAGATATATATGTATAACGGAAATTTAATTTACTATGAATTCGAAACAATTGTCGGAAACGATATTGTAAATTCATAATACACTCCTCGCAAAAATTAAGGGAACATAAAAATTTTTGAAATTTTTGGGTGATTTTCAACAGGCTGTATTTCAGTGAAAAATAATCGTACAGGAAATTTAAAAAAAGGGTTTTGAAGCTTGAAAACTCTAGTTTTCAGATTTTTTGGTGAAAAAATTTTTTGAGCTCCGGTTTCCATGCAATTCTTAAACAAAACTGAAAATATTTTTTTTTTCAAAATTTTCTAGGTTTCGTTTTTCACTCTATGGGCATGGAAAAATTTTTTCGAGCTACTCCATTGTATAGGTCTCTTAGCGTGTTTATTCAGCTTCAAAAATCGCTTTGGATGGCTCAATTACGACCATTTGTCTCCGAGATATCGAACTTTGAATGCAAAAGCATCCTTTTCCATTCAACTGCTAATATCTCTGGAACTACTGGTCGCACAGCAAGCGGGCGCCGAGTTTCTTTATCTGCATAAAATTTCCAATTAAGCACAGTCAAGAGTTAGTGAAGAAAAACATTTTTTCCACCTCTAACATTGAATTGAAAAAAGTGGAAAAAAGTGACTTTTTCTCCTTTTTTGGTTACTTGGCTGTATCTTCGCTAATATGGGCGGGAAAGCTAAGGTTTGAGGAAAATTTTACAGTCTATTGTTCCTTAAAGAACCCCTAAATCCCTGGAGCGATCGGTTCAACGGTTTTCCCGGACCAATTGATTGAAATTTTGGAAAAAATAAGGGAACAAGGTTTTTGTCCCTTAAACTCACCCTAATCCATTAAAAAATCAATAATTTCATTTGTTTTTCACTTTTTACTCATTTTTTTGTTTTTTAAAAATTCATTATCAAAAAAAAATCGAAAAAAATCAAGAAAATTTTTAAGAAAAAATTTTTTTTGAAAAGTCGAAAAAAGTTTACAAAAATTTTTTTTTTCGTTTTTAAGAAAATCAATGTTTTTGACAAAAACTTTGATTGATGATCGATTTACCGCCGGCATTAGCGTTACCCAAAGCATACCACGTGGAGAAACACACACACACACACTTTAGAAAATGAGTTTGGAGTCATTAAATACTGCGGAGCTGACGAACCACGGGGTCTCATTTCTTCTAAAAATTACTTACACAACACTAACACACACACTCTTCAGAAAATGAGTTTGGAGTCACGAAATACTGCGGAGCTGACGAACCACAGGGTCTCATTTTTTCTGAAGAATCCCATATCATAAACACGTGCGTAAGCACAAAAGAAGCGTAAATCCGACCGTGCAACCTCCACGTGGTATGCTTTGGGTAACGCTAATGCCGGCGGTAAATCGATCATCAATCAAAGTTTTTGTCAAAAACTTTGATTTCCTTAAAAACGAAAAAAAAATTTTTTTGTAAACTTTTTTCGACTTTTGAAAAAAAAAATTTTCTTAAAAATTTTCTTGATTTTTTTCGATTTTTTTTTTGATAATGAATTTTTAAAAAACAAAAAATTGAGTAAAAAGTGAAAAACAAATGAAATTATTTATTTTTGAATGGATTAGGTTGAGTTTAAGGGACAAAAACCTTGTTCCCTTATTTTTTCCAAAATTTCAATCAATTGGTCCGGGAAAAACCGTTGAACCAATCGCTCCAGGGATTTAGGGGGTTCTTTAAGGAACAATAGACTGTAAAATTTTCCTCAAACCTTAGCTTTCCCGCCCATATTAGCGAAGATACAGCCAAGTAACCAAAAAAGGAGAAAAAGTCACTTTTTTCCACTTTTTTCAATTCAATGTTAGAGGTGGAAAAAAATTTTTTCTTCACTAACTCTTGACTGTGCTTAATTGGAAATTTTATGCAGATAAAGAAACTCGGCGCCCGCTTGCTGTGCGACCAGTAGTTCCAGAGATATTAGCAGTTGAATGGAAAAGGATGCTTTTGCATTCAAAGTTCGATATCTCGGAGACAAATGGTCGTAATTGAGCCATATGAAGCTGAATATAAGAGACCTATATATATATATCGAAAAATTTTTTATGCCCATAGAGTGAAAAACGAAACCTAGAAAATTTTGAAAAAAAAATATTTTCATGTTTAAGAATTGCATGGAAACCGGAGCTCAAAAAATTTTTTCACCAAAAAATCTGAAAACTAGAGTTTTCAAGCTTCAAAACCCTTTTTTTAAATTTCCTGTACGATTATTTTTCACTGAAATGCAGCCTGTTGAAAATCACCCAAAAATTTCAAAAATTTTTATGTTCCCTTAATTTTTGCGAGGAGTGTATATATATATATATATATATATATATATATATATATATATATATATATATATATATATATATATATATATATATATATATATATATATATATATATATATATATATATATATATATATATATATATATATATATATATGAAGAAGCGTCGAAGAAGGGTCAATTTAAAAGTACCTGTTACCGTCGAGCGTGTATGAAAAGATTTATGAATGCGGAGAAAGCGAAATAGGTTTGTTTAAATCGGAAATAGTTTCTACCTACACCAATGGGATATAGGACATGTTTGTTGTATAATGTAAATAAAAGCTTTATGGAGTTTTTTTTTTGTTTAATCATTTATGTTAACCCGCTTTTTATATTATTATTATATATGTTATAATTTGTGTGCTGTAAGTAATGCAAATAAATTATCTATTTATCTATCTAAAAGTAATCGATGTATTCATTCTTTCTAATATAACATAAACAAGATTTTTATTTACAATTATCATTAAACAACTTAGTTTGAAGCGAGTTGCGACATCTGTTCAAAACTACTTGCATATATAATATGTCAAACTGTGGCGACGCGTCACGCGTAAGATCACACATGCATGAAAGTACATAAATAAGTAAACGTATAAAAACACACATGCGTTTCCTTAACGTGCTAACAAATTTTTTTAGCACAATTTAAGGCGACACGATTTTAGAAATCAGGGATTCAAGGTGAAGGTAAGGTCAATGTTTGTTATCAAAACAAAAACACGGAGTTATGTTATTAAACTTCAAGGAGACTTGTAATGAAATTTTCAAAAGATAAATGATTTCAATTCCTTTGTGTGGTATTTAAGTCATATATGGCAACACTGTCGTTCAGGATATTTTTTATTTTTTGTATAATAAGTTTTAATATTTGCACGCTTACAGTGTGGCAGAATAAGATTAGACTGTTTTTCTTGTAATATAACACGTATAAGAATGCACCTTATTCTAGCAAATAAATTAATTTAAATTCAAATTCTGTCAAAGAGAACGCACATGTTGAAAAGGTTAAAAACTTTAAGAAACAATAAAGTCACTATTAGGTTAGTTTAATAGAATATAGATGAATAAAGGAAAATTGGATATTGGGGTGTTTCATTTCCCACAAAGACACCACACATTGTAACATTTTTGTAAAACTTAACAAAATAGATTTAGTATTGGTGATAAAATCTTATTGAGACGAATTGAAACACTTGACTGCTAAATATGACGACAAAACCATGTACAAAAATCGTTTATTTTAGTACCTTCTCTCACGTTCCTATTTTTGCCAAGATGCAGTCGTGTTTGCATGGCTGTATTTGAAAAGTGAGATATAGCAGTGAAATTATAGAGTTCATATATATACCTATAATTTCATCCATTATTTGCCTCCATAAATATAACACCATAGTTTGGTTACAGAGTATGGAATGGAGCCATAAGACTATGTGTACGATCTCAGGATTGGCAACGCATAAAACAATCTGGGTGTCAAAGAATATACACTGTTCAAATGTATAGACAACGTTATCTACTTTCGATCGTGTGGTTCGTTTGCCATTTTAGACAACTTAAAAAAAAAACAAATTTTGTCAGGTGATAAAAAATCAGTTAAAGGAATTCTAAATGAATGCATTTTGCAACCAAGATAGGTCATTACCGTTTACGTGTAACACAATTATAGCGACAATTAAACGAGTGTGTGTGTGTGGGCGGAGCTATATTTAGAGATGCAATGCTAATACAGTGGGCTTTTGTACTTTAATCTATATATACACATATAAATTAAATAAATTACTTCTATATGGTGTATCAGGATAAAATATACACCAGATTTTAAGTTAAACTCTCAGTAACATAACTATAAAGACTTCATGAATGGAGACAAATTGAAATTTGGCGCAGTATTTTTGCGTGACGCCAGAACAATTTTTGTTTATAGAATTTAGAATGGCAAACAACCTGACGGCCCACCTGATGGAAAGTGGTAATCGTCGCCTATAGACATGGGCAGTACCA